AGCCTCTGAGGATACAGTGAGAAAGCCCATAGAGAAGTGAGGTCTCCCACTTACTCAAGACACCCCAGCCTGGGTCTCACATTTCACTAGCAACCCAGCAAAGGAGAGATGCAATGACCTGAGATCAGCCCTTCATGTGTCCCCAACTGACTCCATGATACCCAGTCCCCTTTAACTACGAATATGCTGGGTCTGTGCTGCCTAATGAGTGAGCATGATTATTTCTTGGTGGAGCTGGAGGCTGGGAACAGTGGAGATAGTTCCTACCATTGAGGGTCAGGACATACCAGGACACATGCTAGTATGTTCTAGTGACACTCACCATGAGCACTGGCCTACGGCAACCTGCCTGGTTTGAAATACAGAGCCTCAGAATTCAAAAGCGTGGTGGATTAACTAATGGTCAACTTGTCGCAGCCAGCTGAACTGAATCAGCACGGTTCTGGGTGTAGAAAGCTGACCTGCAGGATTGTTGCCAACAACATAAAAGGAAAACTTGAGGGGAAGAGCTCATGCTGTTGCTTTTCCTGAAGAAGCTTGTCACATTGGTTTTCCGGATATGAACTCAGCTGTTCTCATCATCTGAGGAGTTCTGTCACTGAAGATGGCTGTGGTTCTTTTGGGGGAGCTCTAGTCCTTACCTTGAACATTGCTTCTTGGCTCCAGTGCAGATCCTTCAGCCTGCTGGCACAGACTTTCTAGCTTTCACCATTGGCCTTTGGGCCTTCCCAGTACAGATCCTTGCATGAGACGTTGCCATAGGCTCTAGGTCTTCAGCTAGACTCATGGAGGGTACTACTGTGGGGTCCAGACCCTCAGTTGGATTCTTTGGGTTCTCTAGTGTGTGGACAGATCTCCTGCACTCTTTTGCATTTGACTCTTTGAGTGAATATTATAAAATAATCCTATAAATTATGAGTCCTGTATCAAAACTTTTTTGATTGCAACAAAATGCCAGCAGCCTTGAGAAGGAGCTCCAGGGACCCCACAAGTTATCACTGCCACATCTCCCAGGCAGGCTTCACAATCTCTGGCCCTACCCATCTCCATGGAATATGGCCTTTCCCACCTTCACTCCTGCATCTCAGGGGGCTAGGCAGCAAGATACCTATCTTGGGTGTTTTTCTCCCTTTGCCAAGAAACACCCCTACACACACACACACACACACACACACACACACACCTTGCTTCTCCTAAGGAGCCCAAAATGCAGCTGCTGATTGATTTGCAACCAAGCTAAAAATAGCTGCTGGCTCCAGCCAGGACCGGGAAAATATCCTATTGCTAGGAAACGACCGTTGCTGGGATACCGCCATCGCTAGGCGACAAAATGTGTTGCTGCGGTGACAGCTGGGCCCTGAGTCATCTTCAGCCTGACAGGGGGCGGGCCAGGTCAGATCAGTAGTTGAGGGCAACAGAAAGGCCCAGCATCATCACCTGCAGCTACCTCAGTCTCTGCATTACAAAGTTACAAAGTTTTCATTTTATGACATGTTTTCTGGCAATGTAGTGATCAGGGCATCAAAACATCCTCAGTGCCGGGTGTGGTGGCTCACACCTGTAATCCCAGCACTCAGGAGGCTGAGGCAGGAGAATTGTTGTGAGTTCGAAGCCAGCCTAGGTTACAAAGTGAGCTAAAGGCCAGCCTGAACTGCATAGTGAGACCCTGTCTCAAAAAGACAAAAAAAAAAAAAAAAATCCTCAGCCTGGTGCCCCATTTAACTCTGCTAAAGAGTCTCCAGCTTCTGCTTCTGGGAAGGGGTAATGGAAGGCAGAGTATACATCTGGCCCCAGGATGAATCACTTTGCTCTAGAGTAGAAGCTTCTCTCCCCAGTGTTATGCTGAGACCTTAAGGATGCACCACCCTATAGAGTGCAGACCCGCTTCCCAGGAGAGGTTCAGTGGGGAAGATACTCGGAGGATTTGGCACAGAATGTGACTTCATGAGACATTTCCCACACCAGAGTTCCCAAGCATATGCCTGAGGCCATCCTGTGAAAGACTCGGGGTAGGTTCAGAGGCCTCATCCTGGATCTTAGGGGGTCACATGGGCTCACCTTCAGCCCCTGATGTGGCTGTGGTCCCTTCTCACTGCCCTCCAAGACCTTTGGATCAGATAAGCCAGCAGCTTCTGATCCTCAACCTCTGACTCTAGAGCTGGGATGCCCACATACACACACATCAGCCTAGACTCAGGAATCCTCTGTGCTCAGATATCAAGGCAAAGGGTACTCCAGGTAAGGGGATCTCCAGGTGACCTGTGCTTCATGTAAGGGGGTCTCCAAGGGAAGGAGTCTTATGGTGAAGGGTGCTCCAGATTAAAGGGTACTCCGGGTGAGATGTGTTCCAGGTGAAGGAGTCTCCAGGTGAAGGGTTGTGCCAAGTGAGGGGCGCTTAAATGAGATGTGGTCCAGATGATAGGTTCTACAAGTGAGAAGGTTTTCAGAGGTTGCGCCAGGTAAGATGTGGTCCAGAAGGGAAAGTAGTTTCACAAAGGCCTCTTCCAGACGAGATGTAGTCCAGTGGAGGGGTACTTTAGGGGCTGTTGGGATTCTCCCAGGACTGATGGAGGAAAGGATCATCCTCACTAAGCTTAGCTAAGCAGTACCTTATTCTCCCCTGAGGTTGCTAAAGGTCACTGAGCAGCCAAATCTCTCTGAGGGATCTCTAAAGGCATCTTTCAAAATGAGGTCAACCTCTACAGCGGTGGTCTACAGTCCCAGTGTGGCAACCTCTCATGGTCAAGCATCTGCCCATCCCTTACTCAATACATGTGTTTCCAGCACCTGTGGTATGCTGGGCACCCAGAGGCACAGCAATGAGAGGAAAAACCCCACCTGAGCCTTCTAGGTACTGTCAGCCACCAGCCTACTGGGATGCAGGCTGAAAAAGGGAGATTCTTGGTGTTGGGAGGGCATAAAAAGAAAGACTCCTAGGGAAAAGATATTTGCCAAATCCTAAGGGGCAAACAGAACCATCCACATGCAGGTGGCAACAGGATGCTACAGGTGAGGGACATGGCAACCTCCTGGCCCCAGAAGTTGGCCAGTGTGGCAGAAGCTCAAATACCCAGATAGAAGGGCCGACAGTGACAGACACCTTTGTGTCTTTGCAGAACGCAGCAAAGAATGAACAGAACCCTGGATGGGGCAGGACCAGGTCTGTGTTGCAAAATGGCCCCTGAATTCTGAGAAGAACAGGTTGGTGGAGGGAAGACTAGGGAAGAATAGCTGCTGATAACCATGGAGAGGGACAAGGGTGTATGATATGGAGAGGTGACAGAAGGGAACCAGGTGGGTTTGCAGGTGCTGAGGAGGCAGAACAGGCCCCTCAAACAGTATTCACCAATATCCCTCAGAATAAATGCCATCGTTGTTCAGAGTCTTTTTGGTGCCCTTTCCAGGCTGTGTGACCCAGAGGCTTTTGTGTGTCCTGAGCTCCCCCATGCCCAATGCAGGGTAGGAGGTCTCAGCACAGCACAGCTTACTCTGAGGCCCATAGAGTCTGAGGGGAAACTCTTTGCCACTTACCATGCATATCTGCTCACAGCTGCTGCCCAAAGGTAAGTGGACAGGTTGAATGACAACTCACTTGTCACCCCAGTGTCTTCAAGAGTCTCATTCTCTCTGTCCCACACCAACTTAACTTTGTTATCCATATTCAAAGCCACAAGTGTCCGAGCCCAGCCACACAAATGGCTGTACTTGTCCAGAGTCCCATACCAAAGACAGCACTCCCACAGCCCCACCAGGGTCCAGTCATCCTGGTTTCTCCAGTGACCCCAGGTATCACTCCAGTCCCACTGGCCGTACTTCCCAGCACCAGCTGGTTTCATTTGTTAAGAAATTCTCAGCCCTGCAGCTCTACACTGAGTCCAAAACCTGGCTCTGCTCTCCCCACACTTTGTCCCTCCCCTAACCTTGAGGCACCATTAGCCCCTATCTTCTGGCTCTGAGCCTACTGTGAGATGTTGCATGGACAATAGCCCTGACAAGAGTCCCCCAGTGGATTCTCATGCCCATCCGTTCTTGAATTGAAGGGACCTGACCTCTGGTCCATTCCAGAAGGAACTTGTCAGATTCTTTAAGGCCTTAGGACCTTTGCACATCCCTTCCTTAGCCACTCCTCCCTCTCATCCTTGGGGTTTCAGCTGGCATATCATGTCCTCCAGAGTTACCACCACTTCCCAGAGGCCACTGTCCCAACACCATGCACTTTCATTACCGTCTCTGAAATGATCAGTTTAGTCATTTGTTTGCATGGTTCTGCAGGTGTGAGACTTTCTTCATCAAGGGCCTGCAGGGCTTGGCCTACAGCAAAGGCCTAAGCATGTGCCACCTGGTGGGGCGGTGCGGTCCAGGTGGTGGCCGATCAGGGCGTCTTGTCTTTTCAAGCTGGCACTCCCTTTCCTCGGCCCAGCAGGTGACATCCCCCGAACTAGGGTGTGTGTGGCGGACCTCATCCCTGTTGGACTCCGCACCTCAGGGACTAACTGCTGACTCCAGGGGCCCTGGGTCCTCTGCACGCCAGGTTTCAGGTCACCCCCTCTGGGCTCAGTCCGGCTGCTTCTCTCTGGCTGCTTGCCTCAGTCTCCACTCTCCTGCCCTCTTGGACATGACGCCGGGCGCGTTTGTTATTGTGCGGGAGCCCGCGGCGAAGGGGGTGCCCTGCCACGCAAAGCCCAGCGCGTGCTCGTCGGCGTCTGCGTTGCGCGGGAGAGGGGGGGAGCGACGAGAGGGGGAAGCGGCAGGTTGGGGGGAGCAGCAGGGCGGGGCTGGGCATCCTCTGCGCCCCCGCCCGGCTCACGAGCCCGGATTGGTCTTCAAGCCCGGAGCGAGCGAAGGCACGGCTCTCTTGCCGGGCGGGGGGCGCGCTCAGAGCCGCCGGCAGCGGCGGAGGAGCGCGGGGAGGAGCGCGGAGGAGGAGCACGGGGAGGAGGGCGAGGGGAGGGAGGAGGCGCCCGCCTGGTTCCCTGCAAAGCGGCCTTATTTATCTGGGCACAGCCTCAGCCTCCCCGGTGGGAGGCTCGGGGCGGCCGATCCTCTCCCATCGGGCCCCCCCACCCCCCGCCCAGCTCCGGGCGCGGCAGAGGGGGCCCGGCCAGGCTGGGAGGTAGGGTGCGGGGCGCGGCCGGGCCCGGCCGGCTAGTCCAGCGCCTCGGCCGCCTCCACACTCACCGGCGCCCATGCTGGGCTCCCTATGACGCGAGGTAGCCCGGCGGACGGCGTGGCATGAACCAGGAGCTTAGGCCAAGGTAAGGTGCGCGCAAGGCCAGCTTGAGGGGCAGAGAGGGGAGGGGGCCAGGCCACTCTACTACCGCGGGCACAATGAGGGGGCGGGGAGGGGGCTTGTGACTGTGCCGCCATCTCCAAGGAAGGGCTTATGTAACAGCAGCCCCTTCCCCTCTTCATCTGGCCGCAGGGCCTGCAGCCCTGCCAGGCCTTCCAAAGCCCATCGCCCCAGTGGCTTGCCCCAGCGAGGCCCACTCCCCACATGCAGTGTGGTTAGAGTTATGGGTCAGTGCCACTGGAGACACCAAAGCCTCCAAGAGGGTGCAAAATTGCAGGCCCCCAAACCCTACCCCTCCTGGCTGGGCTCTGGGCTCTGAACTCTGGACCCCAATGCCCGTGGGTCTACATGACAGGTGTTAGATGCAGCTAGACTCCAAGAGGAGCCATGTGGGTATGTGGCCAGGGGGCTGGCCCTCCTCTGAATACCTTCTGGACATGGGTCTGTATAAAGCTGCCACCCACAGAGGGAGGCAGAAGCAGTGGGCTGGCTGGTCTTTAGTTCTGGAGGAGGGCCTGGGTCCTGGCCAAGGCTGGAGGGCCTCAGACTGGGGAATGGGCTTTCTTCAGGGCAGAAATCTTGGATCTTCCTGGGAGTTTAAGTGAAATCGAAGGGCCCCACATGCACTGTCCCAAGAGAGAAGATTGTGATGGTTAGAGCTTTGGCTCCCTGGCCTGCAGCCCCTCCCAGCCTGAGAAGGCAGTCTGACCTCAGCAGGAGGAGCAGATGGCAGATGCTACTTCACCTGCTTCCCTTCAGGCACCTCCTCCATACCTCCCTACCCATGTCCTAGGACCCACTGACCAGGGTCAGCTCAGGCATCCCTCATGCCCCGCAGGACACAGATTTTCTCCCAGCTAACCTTTTGATGAGGTGCTGGACAGCAGCTCAGAACAGAAGGCTTGGGCTGGCTGAGTTGGAAATGGAAGGGTTTGAGGTTTTCCTGGGCCAGACCAGAGAGGCCTGATGGAGTGAGAGGTGGCCATGCAGCTGCATAAGGAGCTATCAGAGGGAATGGAAATTCAAGGCTCATGTAAACATGGGTGGTGCATACAGAGTCCAAGATTCAGCTCCCCCAGTTCCTGCCACCTCCAGTACCTGGTTCCCAGCCACCCTCACCTTAGGCCCAGTATACAAGCTCAGCATCCCCATCACTGGGCACATTCACAGGATAGAATCTCCCCCTTCTGCCCATATCCACTTTGTGGGTACCTATACTATTCTGTCTAGGTCTACTGATGAGACTTAGTTCCCCTACACACAAGGGACTGGAGTCCAGAAAGCCCTACACTGCTGAGAAGCAGATACAGACCCCAGATGGAGGAAAAGACTCCTTGGCAGACCATACTCAACTGCCTGCAGACCCTTTATGGTCAACTGTGGGTGCTCCCTGCTGTGCCTCCAAGGCAGTTGGGTGAGGGTGACCTGTGAGAGCCAAAGGCTGACTGGTTACAGAGGGTGCAGGAGGGCCATATTCCCTTTGTTGATAGCTGCTCAAAGCAGTAGGGACTAGGAGCTCTCACCTGGGTAGGTGGGGTTTATATTCATCAAGGATGGGGTGTCAAGATAAGCCAGCTCCCACGCCACAGTCTCACATAGCTGAGGTGCTCTGAGGTAGGCCAAAGCATTCCAATCTGCCTGGGTTCAGTTTGGGTCTCTGTGAAGGCCCACATGCCCCTGGGCCATGGGCCTCCCCATCCCAAAGCCCCCATGTACCCCTGAGCATCTCTAGCTGGGGGCAGGAGGGAAACACTATGTTTGACATGTGCAAAGTGGCAAGGATATGAATGTGCCTGAGTCACAGGGCTGTCACAGAATGTGTCAGCTTGCACTTCGCCCCCAACTTCATCTACCCTGGTTGTCACCCCAGTCCCTGGGGCTACTGCAGACTGAACCTCAGGTGCAGCTTTGCTTACCCATGCCTTGCTTAGCTCCAAGGCTCTCAGCAGGTAGGAGAAAATGGTCAGTGCAGGTTCTGTGGAGGCCAAGCCTCCCAGCAGTCAAAGCAGGCCTGATGCTCACGAAGATTAGGGTATCAGGCTAGATCTGGTGGCACACATCTGTAATCCCCACACTTGGCAGGGGGGCTGAGGCAGGAGGATTGCCAGAGTTCAAGGCCATCCTGGGCTACATAGTAAAGACTCTGTCAAAAACTTAGAGTGTCTGAGATGGAGGAACAGTCCCTCAGTATGGGCAGTGAAAGTGAGGATATTGGTGGGCAGGTAGCTGGCACCCCCTGGAATGAGAACAGGGATATGGCAGGGCCCTTGCTGGGCAAGGCCATGGTTAAAGAGACTACCAGCCCAGATCCCCAAAGAACACGAGAGACCTTGAAGCAAAGAGGATAAAGCAAAGACCTTTAGATGTACACCTGGACAGAGGCATTGGTAATCAGCCTGGAGGTCTTGTGGTCAATCACAGTTTTGTGAAACTTCTGGAAACTCACTTCCTGAGTCTTGCTTTCCCCACCCTGATCAGGCAGCATGTGAAGGACTGAGGCTAGTAAAGGGAAATATAATGCTGGAAAGAATAAAGGAGGACATCTCCTGTGCCTCCCTCCCAGAAATTTCTATTCCCTCCCCTAGTCTCAAGCCAGACTATGGGGAATGGATAGCTGCCCTTCTTAGTCCTGCAGCTTCAGAAGACTTACCAGAAAATAGACACAGGTGCTCTCTTCCCCTGAGATCTGCAAATCCCAAGACCTAACTTAGGCCCCTGTGGTGTTGGGGGCTTTCCCAGTGACTCTGGTACCAGCCCAGACCCAACTCCAATGGCTTCCCTCCCTTGTGAACATTGACCATTATCACAACTGGGGCTAAGTTTTTTAGCTACAGCTCCCTGACTGCCAGCCTTTTAAATCTGACCATTCCTCCTTCAAGCCTCTCAGACCTCTTGCAGCAGCATCCTTTTCTGCAGTGGGCCTAGCATTGCTCATTCATTCATTTGTGCATTTGTTCATTCATTTGGCAACACTTGAAGGCCACACATCCATGATGCAGTCTGTACTCAAAGGGTCCCCAGACCAGGGCGAAAGGTAGACAGTGATAATAACCTGAGTGATGAAACTCTGGAGATGCATTTTCGCACACATGATAGGATCCCGCTGGGAAGGCAGGTTGGTTCTTATCCAGCACTGAGGAATGAAGAAGTGGATGCTAGCTTAAGGAGAGGAAGCCCTGGAGCAAACAGGGCATTGTGCCGAGGCAGTAAGGGATCTGAGACCAACTTGGTCTCAGGACCAGGTAACATGGCACAAAGAAGGGGCAATTCTTGTGGACTCTTCTAGGCCGTCTCTGTGGATGTTGGCCTAGAAGCTGCCAAGGGCTCAGGTCTCCCAGAAGCCCCTAAGAGCACTGTATCTTTAGGCCTCACAATTGAGTCCTCTGGGTAGAATGCGGAGGTCACAGTCAGCAGGTCTGGGTGTACCTTGACTGGCTGGGACTAATGGGGATAACATGGGTAGTGACTACTGTCTCCCCCTTTCCTAGGGTTGGCCCAGGATCTCGAGCCCTTTCACAGACTGTCCCAGCAAAGAATAATTCTACTGTAAACTGACCACAACACAGCTGGCCTATGGCTGAGAATTATATATGGCCTTTTTTTTTTTTTTTTTTTTTTTTTTTTTTGTATTGAAGATTGAACCCAGGGCTTTCACACTGAGCTGCATCTCAGGGCCTTTTTATTTTTTATTTATTTTGAGCAGGGTCTTTTAAAGTCACTAAATTGCTCAGGGTGGCCTGAAATTTGTGATCTTCCTGCCTCAGTTTCCCTGAGTGCTGGGATTAGAGGAGTGCACCACCACACCTGACTTAAACTCAGCTATATTTTTCAAAAGCCTCCTTTCCTAAAAATAGTTCTCCTAAAGGGAGGCAGTCCTAAGTAGCCTAGCAGCTACCCATACCTATCCTGGCAGGAAACTCTGATTAGGTCCTCATTGGAGAGAGCAGCAACACTATCAGGAAGGGACTCTATAACTCATGATAAACAGGCTCTTGGTCACTATCTGGTCAGGTCCAGAGCCAGGTGGAGAGGCCCTTGTTTGGGCCACTCCCTAGCTGGGAGAGAGGCTCTAGCCTCCAACTATGAGCTCGGTTTTCTTCTAAGCCTCAACCTTTGGGCCAAGGTGGGACCATTTCCATGAAGTCTGGGCCCAGGGCCTCATGTGAGGTCGAGAGGTCACTGTGGCTTATCTTCACCAGCCCAACCCTGAGGCCTAGAAAAAAGGTAGGAATGGGAAAGTGGGCTCATGTAAATGTGAGTTCTGGTGTGCAATAGGTAGGAGCACTGCAGGTGCCCAGGGCATCCACGTGCAACCCCCATCTCTGCACTCCACGTGCACACCCGCGGCTGGGAGCGTTTTCAGCCTAAATCGGCACAGCTCTTGGATTATTTCTCCCCTGGCACCGCCTCCGCCGCCTCCTCCGGATCTTAGCCGAGCGGGCGGCTTCTTCCCTCTCCCTTCCATCCGTACTGCCTCTGGGGCTCCTCCCTGCTGAGCTGGGCTTGCCAGGCTTTGGGTTTGCCAGAGTCCACCCCCCACCCTCGCCGCTGTCCGCGGTGCAGCCTGCCCAGGCCTGGCCCCGAGCGCAGGCCGCTGTCCGTGGTGCTGGGCACAGAGTGAGCCTGGCCTGGTCTTGGAGAAGCGGTGGCGGCCGGGTGGGCGGGGCGTCCTGGGTAAGAAACCAGAGCAATTTGGGCCTAAGGAGCAGGGAAGCCGCCTCACCACCACTCCACCCTCCGCCCTTACCCTCTCAGGGTATTAAGGCTGTGGCTGCTTCTGTCCCCAGTGCTAATTACAGAGTGCCTTGCTGGGACAGGAGTGCTGGTTACTGACCTCATCCTAGCCTATCATGAGGTACTGCTGTCCTCTTATCTGCCCTGGCATTCCTGAAATTGGGGTGACCCTGCAAAAAGGCAACCCCTGCCACTGTGAGCAAACTAACTTCTTGGAGCTTCAGATTCTTTATCTGAAAACTTGGGGAACAATAGTAGCCACCCCCACACACTGAGATACCATGAGACAGAAATATGTGATTATCTCAGTAGGCACTTTACAAGTGTTGTGATGGATGTCGCTGTACCAGCCAGTGTGTGGCTACTCCTTCCTAGTCATGAGTATGTGTAAAGGGGCAGCTAAGGTGTTGGAACCTCCTCAGGGGAGAGCCTAGTCCTGCCACCTAGGGCTCAAACGATGCCTTTGGAAAGAGGGAAGGAAGTGGCACAGGGAGGCCTGGGGTGGGCTGCCAGTGGTAGGGGGCTGTGGCTGCAAGAGCAGCGAGGCCTCTGGACCCAAAGTTGGAGTTAGTACTATGTATACCAGTGAGATCCCAGGTCCCAGCCCAGGTCAGCCTTTGAAGTACCCTCTTCAGAGGGCTTGGAAGACAGTGGGGGTATGGTACTGAAAAGACCCGGGCTGGACAGCCCTCATCTCTCCTTCCTAGTGGCTCCAGTTTTCTTCCCTGAGGGCCACCCTAAGTTGTGGAGGAAACATAGCCACCTTCTTCAACCTCAAGGCTCCAGGAGGGAGACTCAGCTGGAAAAGAAATATTAGCCTTTCTCTTCCTGGGGGTCTGCTTGTTATGATACCCTCCCCAAGCCCTAGAAGATCTTGGGAGCCCCCTCCCTCCCCACACTGCTTGGTGGCCCTGTAAGACTTGCCTGTGAGTCAAGGGTTTATCTTGGTCAGGCAGGAGAGGAGGAGGAGCTGAGAGCAGCTTTTATACCCCCTTTGAGATTGCATGGCAAAAAGACAGGGACTGTCACCAGCACTGGACCAGCATTGGGAAGAAAAAGAAGAAGGCATGTGTGCAGGGCTCACCATGCTGTCCCCCAATTCAACACTTTCCCTTTCTTTGGGTAGATTCTGAGCCACAGACCCTGCTGTGGCATCAACATTCACGAGACAGACAAGGCCACACTGGTATCTGTAGGGGTAGGCCGGAAACCATCGCAAGCCCTTTCCCTCAATTTTTCAGTCTTAATAGGATCAGAGGGAGAGGGGCTGGGGATTTAGCTCAGCGGCATAAGTGCCTGTCTTGCAAGCAGGCAGTTGTGAGTTCGATCCCTGGTACCGATAAAAAGGAAAAAGACAAAATAGTATCAGAGGGAGAGAAGGAAGTAGCTAGGGACTTGGTCTCTCTACCTCCATTTTCCCATGGGTGAAATGGGAGTCTCAGCATCAGAGCACCAGAAAGCATCCATGAACAATGCAGGTTTAGCCATTATGCACAGTAGGTGCTCAGTGCCATGAGTGCCATGACCATGGCCAAGCCTACCTCTTGTTGCTACACACAGTCAAGGTCGGAGAACTATATACTTAGAATTGTATCCTATTGGGTGGCTCTGGGAAAGCCATGACCATGGGTATCTAGGGCTTAGAAGAAGGGTGACTCTCCATAGCCTGCTCAGAGACCAGCAAATCCACTCTCCCCTCCCCACTCATCTGCAGAGTGTTCGAGGAAGATGTCGAGTCCCGGTGTCAACGGCGACCCCAAGCCTCCGTGCCTGCCTCGAAACGGTCTAGTGAAGCTACCAGGCCAGCCAAACGGCCTGGGTGCAGCCAGCATCACCAAGGGCACACCAGCAGCCAAAAACCGCCCCTGCCAGCCACCCCCTCCACCCACCCTACCACCCCCAAGCCTGGCTACCCCACTTTCCCGGGCTGCCCTGGTTGGGGGGCCATGTTCCCCTGCAGGTGGACCAGCCTCAGCCCCCGTGCCTGGACCCCCAGCAGAGCGGCCACCACTAGCCACAGATGAGAAAATCCTCAATGGCCTCTTCTGGTACTTCTCAGCATGTGAGAAGTGTGTGTTAGCTCAGGTGTGCAAGGCCTGGCGGCGTGTGCTCTACCAGCCTAAGTTCTGGGCAGGCCTCATGCCTGTCCTGCATGCGAAGGAGCTCTACAATGTGCTGCCTGGTGGCGAGAAGGAGTTTGTGAACCTGCAGGGCTTTGCTGCACGTGGATTTGAGGGCTTCTGCCTGGTTGGTGTCTCCGACCTGGACATCTGTGAGTTCATTGACAACTATGCGCTTTCCAAGAAGGGGGTCAAGGCCATGAGCCTCAAACGTTCCACCATCACTGATGCTGGCCTAGAGGTATGCCCTAAACTCATCAGGAGGGGACAAGGCTGGGGATGGGAGAGACAGGCAGCAGTGACACATGTCACTGCTGTGACATGTAAGATAGTGCTGGGCCCCAGAGGAGACTCACCATACAAGAAACAAAACAGCAGACTGGCACCCTGGTGCTCTAAGGGACAATGGCTTGGGGTGAGGAAGGGAGAAAGACTAGCTACATAGGTTGGAGAAACTATTAAGAAGTGAAATGTGGGGGCTGGGGATTTAGCTCAGTGGCATAAGTGCCTGCCTTGCAAGCAGGCAGTCGTGAGTTCAATCCCCGGTACCAATAAAAAAAAAAAAAAGAAAAAAGACAAAAAAAAAAAAAAAAAAAAAGTGAAATGTGGGGCTGGGGATATAGTTCAATGGCACAGTGAATGCCTGGCAAGTGCCAGATCATGAGTTTGATTCCTAGTACCAAAAAAAAATTTCAAGGCAAAGGTGAAAAAACAGCAACCAATTAAATGTAGGGCCCTTCCCATAAAGCTAGCCTTGCGTGGAGAGGATACTGGAGAAAGGTGAGGGGCATCTGGGGCAGGGTCTCTTAGTAGCAAAAGTCAGAGGAGCAGCTGGGCAGACCTCACTGTCCCCAGGACCTGTACTATAATGTTCAAAGAGCATGGAGTACCTGCTCTAGTTAGCTTCTGGCTCCTAGTGACCTGTCCCAGTTTTGGAATATTGTTTAAATGTAACAGACACTCTAAGTGAGCTCTTCAGAGTTTGGTTTTCTTGGTTTGTTTGTTTGTTTGTTTGTTTGTGGTACTGGGAATTGAACTCACTATTTTGCACTTGCTAAGCAGACACTGTGCTACTGAGCTATATCCTTGGCCCTGTTTTTTTGTTTGGTTGGTTGGGTTTTCTTTCTTTCTTTCTTTCTTTCTTTCTTTCTTTCTTTCTTTCTTTCTTTTTTCATTTCTTTCTTTCTTTTTTGATACAGGGTTTTACTATGTAGTTCTAGCTGGCCTTGAACTTGTAGCAAACCTCCAGCCTCAGCCTCCCAAGTGCTGGAATTACATGTGTGGGTCACAATGCCTGGCCCAGAGTTCAGTTAGATGCATGTTTGCATAAGTCTGCATTCTAGAGACCATTGCTTCCTGCCTTCTAGGGGCTCCTTTCCACCCTAGTTAAGCAATCATCAAGCCCCAAGGTAAGGGTTCCAAGGATTGAGACTCACCTCTGATAGGCATCTCTCCACACAGGTGATGCTGGAGCAGATGCAGGGAGTGGTGCGCCTGGAGCTGTCCGGCTGCAATGACTTCACTGAGGCTGGGCTGTGGTCCAGTCTTAGCGCACGAATCACCTCACTAAGTGTGAGCGACTGTATCAACGTGGCAGATGATGCCATCGCGGCCATCTCACAGCTGCTGCCCAACCTGGCCGAGCTGAGTCTGCAGGCCTACCACGTGACGGACACAGCACTGGCCTACTTCACCGCACGCCAGGGGCACAGCACACACACACTGCGCCTGCTCTCCTGCTGGGAGATCACCAACCACGGTGTGGTGAATGTGGTGCATAGCCTGCCCAACCTCACCTCCCTCAGCCTCTCAGGCTGCTCCAAGGTCACTGATGATGGTGTTGAGCTGGTGGCTGAAAACCTCCGAAAGCTGCGCAGCCTTGACCTCTCCTGGTGCCCTCGAATCACTGATATGGCCCTGGAATATGTGGCTTGCGACCTGCACCGTCTGGAGGAGCTAGTACTGGACAGGTGTGCATGACCTCGCTCCAGGGACTTGGTGGGTGGGTCTCTGTGAACTGGGCCCCTAGACTGGGTGGGACCAAATCCTCAGGCTTCTTGCATGGACTTAGCTGCAGAGTAGCTAGGGGGAGGTGAGAGGCACCAAAAATGGCAGAAATGCAACAAGATCTTGTTGTTCAGTATCCTTGTAGGCGCAGTGCTTGCACAGACAGGTGTGAGGATGGGACTGGGGGGCCTCTAGCAGGAGGGGTGGGACAGGTGGTGTACGATGGGCAGTCCACTTCTGGTGCAATCACAGGTGTGTACGCATCACGGACACTGGCCTCAGCTACCTGTCCACCATGTCGTCTCTCCGCAGCCTCTACCTGCGATGGTGCTGCCAGGTACCCAAGCCTCTGGGATCAGGGAATAGGTGGGAGGGGGGGATGAAGGGAAAGTACTGTTCACATACCAGTCAGTGACCTGTTCCCGCCCCACTCAGTCCTCGCCACTCAGTCCTCGAAGGGGCCTGGGACCCACTCGGCATCCAGCCTAAGCAAAGTTTGCATGCTCCTCAGGGTCTTTGTTGGCTCATTCCAGCAGCTTCCTGGCTGCACTGGGGCTGAGAAAGCTCCTTTTTGAATTTCCTCCTTCCCCTCTGTCCAGACGGGTCCAGATCTCAGGCAAGCGGAAATAGTTAGCATGCCCCCTTCTTCACCTCCTACCCAGGTGCAGGACTTCGGGTTGAAGCACCTCCTGGCCATGAGGAGTCTGCGCCTCTTGTCTCTGGCAGGTGAGAACACCTGCATGCCTTCTGTGCACTGACCTCCACGCTTGCCTAGTGCGACACTCCTAGACCTGTGAGGCCTTTATAAAGATTGGACTGGGTGCTGGTTCTTTGTGTCCCTGTCCAAATTAAAGGAGGAGCAAACACTAACCCAGCGCAGGCCCCTATGATTACCCGCCCCTGAACAAGGTCCAGCCCAGTGCAAACTTCACCCATAATTTCGCAGCTCCCTCACAGGGTTCCCTGCCCAGTGCTACCCGCTCCTGCCCTCTAGCACAGGCCCCGTCCACGGTTGCCCTGAGTTTCTGCCCTGCCACAGGCTGCCCGTTGCTGACCACTACGGGGCTGTCCGGTCTGGTGCAGCTGCAGGAGCTGGAGGAGCTAGAGCTGACCAACTGCCCCGGGGCCACACCCGAGCTCTTCAAGTACTTCTCGCAGCACTTGCCCCGCTGCCTTGTCATCGAGTAACACGAGGCGCCCCGCCTCGGCCGCTGGAACCGGCCATGCTCTGGGCGGGGCGCGGGCGCCATTGAGCCCCTTTTTCGATCCCACTGGGAACCCAGCTCGAGGGAAACTCCGCCCCGCCCTTGCCCTTGGCTCCTCGCCCGCCGGCCCGCCCTGGGCAGGAAGCAAGGGGCCAGCCCTACGCACGCACGCACACTCGGGGACTTTGTGCATGCCCCTCGTGCCCGCACTGCACGCCCGCCTTCACCACGCCACCACCGCCGCCATCACTTGCCCAACCGCTGGGGGGCTTGATCCTGGGGGGGGGGGCGCTCTCTGCCCAGCTGCCTTCCCCGCCACACCCGTTCTCTGCCTCCCTGCTGTCTCCCATGGGGGAAGGCCCTTGGGAAAGGGGTGACTCGGTCCCCCAAGGACTCAGGGGCCCAGAAAAACCCCAAGGGCCTCCTGCATCTTCCATTGTACCGTGCCTGGAGCCCTCCAGAGGTGCGAGGTGACACAGGCCACTGCCAAAGCCATGGCCCGCTGAGGAGCCCAACTCCCCTTTCCTCTCCCTCTCCATGTCCTCCTGACCCAAAAGGCCTGCCCTCTTTTCCTCACAACAGGCCACCCACCTGTGGGCCAGCCCCTATGCTACTCTCAGCCCCACACAGGCCTACAGATCTTTGGGCCCTGACCAAGCTGGGACAGCCTTGGGATGACAATGACCTTGGATTAATCAACATTAGCCCAGCCCATCCAGTCCACCTCAATCGAGGGGTGGAACAGGCACCTTGAGAGATCTCAAGCTGAAGCCAACCTTGGCATCATAGGCAGCAGCTCAGCCAATCCCACACCCAGCCCTTAACCCCAGATCTGGGCAGATCTTCTCAGATGGAATCTGCAGAAATGGGCCTAGCTAAGAATCAGGATCAGCACACCCTCCACACACACACACACACACACACACACACACACACACACACACAGAGGAGGGAGGGCTCCTTTCTAGACCCACCCCATTCACACACTCACCCCCAGCTTCCCAAACTTCTGCCTGCCCAAATGGGCTCTGACTGTGTTCTGTTCAATCCCCACACATTTGGAAGTCCTGGAGTATGCTGCCACATCTTGGCAATGCTAAAGAGGGGGCTGGGACCCCTTTCTTTCCCAGCCTTGAACCCCAGGAAATACAGTGCCCACACCCAATCTTGGGACATCCTTTATCTGGTTGGAAGGGAGTAACCAGTTTCCAGAGAGCCAGAGAGTGAGAGCGAGAGAGAGCGAGTGAGAGAGACAGAGACAGAGATAGAGACAGAGACAGAGACAGAAATGCTGTTGAAGCAGAGAAACCGTTCAACAGCCCAAAGAATTTCCTGCCCCTGGAGTGCTGGCCGAGGAGGCTCCAGGCTGGAGCAGAGTGGTCAGGAGCCAATTTCTTCAGCCCCTCCTCACATAGTCCCCTAACAGGGAGGGGGCAACTGTCCATTTGCCCAAAGTATTAATGCAACTGAAGCTGTGATATTTTCAACGACTGTAGGAGAAAAATCTAAGGGGAAAGAGGAAAACAAAACCAACCACCCCCTAAAAATCATTTTCTTATTGTACATAACGACCTCATTCTCCTGTATATGCGGAAGATATAACCTTATATTTGGTAAGTGTTTCTTGTGCTATTTTATCACGTGACCTGTTTATAAAAATATATATTAAAAACGTTGTAAAAACCTGAGTCCAGGTTGTTTTGGGGTCACCGGACCATAATGCACAGGTAATTGCTTTGGGAGGCCCAGAGGTTCTCATGTACTCCTGATATATCAGGTTTATTCATACTTTTAAGAAACAGCCAGACTAGAAATTGATCAGTGACCAACACAGAAGTTCCTCAGCCCCCTATTACCTATTACCTAAAGGGGAGAGAGGGCACAGAGAGATGACACTAAAGTCATTACACATAATATTCTCTCAAAATATCTAGGATCTAGCCCCCACCCCCATCTTGAAAGCCAGACATGTCTTGTATACAGGGACTGAGCACAAGATCAGGATGTCCTAAAAGAGCATATAATGTATCAGGAGACAAGGGCTACACTCAGAAAAGAAAGGGAGGCTGCAATTGAATGGGACCACTGAGTGAATGGGCCGTGTCAGGCCCTAATAGTTTGAACCAAGGCATATTTAACCTCTGCATTAGTATTCACATCTATGTGATAAGCACCAGTAAACAATCAGGCTGTGACTAGGATGTGGAGGTGACAGTGGCTGGTGAGGTGGGGTACTGGGGAAGACCTCTGTGCTCTGAGGAAGAGGCATTTAAATAGAGCCCTGAAGGGTGAGGAGATAGAGGCAGGAATGATCTTGGTCAGCTGTGAGCAGAGACCCATAGCTGCAGAATGGCCAGAGGCTGGGGTTTATTCCATTGCAATAGGGCATCGTGTAAGTAGAAGAACTATCAGTTGATGTATGGCGCGCAGATTGGGTGTGATGGACCATGGAAAGCAGTCAAGAGACAGCTCCTGAGCTTCACAGGAGGAAAGAAGTAGAAAGTGGAGAAGTTTGGGGCTTATGTAGGAGTGACCAGACTTGCAGAAAGACGTGGGGAAAGGAGAACCGGCATTAAAATGTTGAGATTAAAATAAGCACAACCAAATCAGAACTCGATTTTAGTTCACATGATTAAGAACCATTCTGAGGCTTTTTTGGTTGTTGTTTGTGTGTATAAATAAAATACTTATGTAAATGATGTATGTTTTGTTTTTAAACATTCATCAAAACAAAAATCATGGGTGACAAGCCCATGTTTCTGAGATGCCACAATTCTAAGCAACCTAAGAAATAAATCACTTCCAGCTAAACTGAATGTTTTCCTGAAGCCAAATTTTTTAATTAAATAAGTGACTGTGGTGAAATGGGCAGTTTGGATAATTTCAAAGCAGCAGTATCACAATCTATAGGTAGACCTTTTACCATATAAATGCAGTTTACTTGTAAAATTCCTAAAAAGAAAAATTTTATCACTACCAAGAACTTTCCACTCAAATGAGGAAACTAGAAAAACCTGACTTTTTTGAATTAGCTAAGCAAGACTTGTTAAAGGAACACTTAACTACAATATTCTTATAACCCATTCCTTTACAATAAATTGAAAACTGGAATATCTAACACTTGGCTTATGGAAACCTACTGAGATGATCAGAGGTGTTCACAATTTAGGACCTGCTAAAATAAATCACTAAATTATTCACCTGCATTTTTTTCTTTTTTGTGATGGGGTCCCAATACGTAGTTCAGGGTGGTCTTGAACATATAGCCCAGGCTGGCCTCGAATTACAGTGATACTCCTGCCTCAACCTCCCACATCCGCTTATTTTTTATTTTTAAAGGAATATAAAATTGACCATTACTTACAATAAACAACATATAGAATAACAATCTGATTATTACAAAGATATTTTCCTGGCTTTTGCTTAAAGTTACCTAAATAGTGAAAAGTCAGGAATGAGTTGGCAGATCGAAAACAACAACAAAAAACCCATGCAGAGCCAGGCGTGGTGGCGCCTGCCTGTAATCCCAGCACTCGGGAGGCTGAGGCTGAAGGATCATTGCAAATTCAAAACCAGCCGGAGCTACCAAGTGAGTTCAAGGCCAGCCTGAACTGCATAATAAGACCCTGTCTCAAAAAAAAAAAAAATACAGCCAGGCGTGGTGGCGCACCACAGCATAGCAAGACCTTGTCTCCTACAACAACAAGATAACACAAGCACATAAACAAAATACCGAGGCGGAAACCGCGGAGCCTTCCAACGCCAACACTGCTCCAGCGAGAGGAACGAGCCCGGAACTATTATCATACCGACAAGTCTATGCCTGCTTCCGGAGGGCGCTGGTAAATAACGGACAACTTCCGGCGGGAGGAGGAAGAGATAGTCGCTTCCGGCAAGGCCGTTCTCTACCGCGGTCTGTTCTCGGTAAATGATTGGAGTGCCCGCGGAAGCAGAGGCTCTCCACTCCTCTGGTTGTGGTGCTTCAGCCTTCTCTGCTCGGGGATATCAGAACCTCGCGACACAGAAACTTCGGACTCTGTGCCGCCTACCTCTTCTTCCTTTCCAGCTTCTTAAACATCTCAGTTCCCTGGGTCGCCCTACCCCTACCTCGTTTTGTTCCTCCCTGGACTCCTCCTTCCCTCGGAGACCCTGGGCCGACCAGGTGTATCGCAGGAGCCATCTCGAACCCCTGCTGAAATTGCTTGACCATAGTCCGTTAGACTCTGGGATATGACTGATGGCTTGAGTGGAGACTAAGGAATAGGATTTTCTGGGGAAGCCAGACATGGTAGTGACCAGTCTCAGGACGGCTACAGAGCCCTCTGGCAGACTTCAGTGACTCTTAACTTGTCTGTGAGGCTGGCTGATGGACTTCCTGGACTAGTAACGAAGATTAACCAGCTCAGGCCCAAGTAGTGCGGGGAGATCCAACATGATGCAAAGTCTGAACTGACAGACAACCAGGCTGCTTAGGTCAGCCCACTTACTGACCTGCCCCCACCATCCGTGCAGCCATGGAGAAGATGTCCCGCGTGTCCACAGCCCTTGGTGGCAATGCACTAACTGGCCGCACCATGCACTGCCATCTAGATGCGCCAGCAAATGCCATTAGTGTGTGTCGTGATGCGGCCCAGGTAGTTGTGGCAGGCCGCAGCATCTTCAAGATCTTTGCCATTGAAGAGGAACAGTTTGTGGAAAAGCTCAACCTGCGTGTGGGCCGGAAGCCCTCACTTAACCTGAGCTGTGCTGATGTGGTGTGGCACCAGATGGATGAAAACCTGTTGGCTACAGCAGCCACCAATGGTGTGGTGGTCACGTGGAACCTGGGACGGCCATCCCGTAACAAGCAGGACCAGCTGTTCACAGAACACAAACGCACTGTAAACAAAGTCTGCTTCCACCCCACTGAGGCCCATGTGCTGCTTAGTGGCTCACAAGATGGCTTCATGAAGTGCTTTGACCTCCGCAGGAAGGATTCTGTCAGCACTTTCTCAGGTAGGCCCACAGAGGCAGGATAGAGTAGGCATGTCTCTGCAGGCACTTGACCTGTCCAGGCAGGCTGAGAAATGCTCTGTGCATCAGAGGGGGTGGAGCTCAGTAGAGGAGATATGAAGGCAGGCCTGGATGAAATATGAACCTGGGTACTGATAGTGGGAGGCAGGACAAGTAGGAATTGAGGTTGCATGTGGCATGATGGAGAGCAGCACAGTACAAGGGGATTCACAGCTTAGCTGGGTGACTGATTAGTTCTGTTCAGTATGTGACTTCCTTTTCTCTCACCCCACCAGGAGCCCCTTATTACAGAAAGTCTACCAGGACTCCAGGGTTCTCAGCCCAGGGATACAGAGGAAGTGGAGTACACTGTTTCCCCTAGAGCCATTTTCCTACTAGGCCCAGCTCCTGATGTCCAGCCTTAAGCCAGCTCTCTTTTTTTTTTTTTTTTTTTTGTCTTTTTCGTTTTTATCGGTACCGGGGATCGAACTCACGACTGCCTGCTTGCAAGGCAGGTGCTTATGCCACTGAGCTAAATCCCCAGCCCCGCCAGCTCTCTTTTTATCTACCTTGATGACACCAAGTAAAGTACAAAGCATAGCCCTGGGTTTTCAGAGAATTTATGGGCAGGTGCTGCTGTTAGTACTTGTTATTTTTATATTTTATTTTACTTCAGACAGGGAGGATATATAGTCCAGATTAGCCATGAACCCATTATGTAGCCCAACGTGTCTTCAAGCTTGGAATCTTTCTGCCTCAGCCTCTTACCACACCCAGCTTGGAGGCTTATTAAAACAGATCTTGGGGACCTGGTGTATGGCTCAGTGGCATGGTGCCTGCCAGGCAAGCACAAGGTCCTGAGTTGAATTCCTGGTTCCAAAAAAAAAAAAAAAAAAAAAAAAGCATCTTGCTCACTCTGGTGTTGCATACCCATAAACCCTGCACTCAAGAGGCAGAAACAGGAGGATCATCACAAGTTCAAGGACTGTGTGGGCAACAAGTTCATTCAAGGTTAACCTGAACTACATAGTGAGACCTTTGCTAGAAAAACAAACAAAAAGATCCTTGGCTGCCTGTGTCAAAGAAAAGCTAGACACTGTCTTCCTGGCTCTTGGGTGGACCTGGTCCCTTGAGCCTCTGGTCTTTTGGGGTTGATCTTGCAGCTCCAGTTAAAGGTGAAAGGGATGGGCAGGGTCTGAGCTACCCTCCTCAGTAATTCTTACAGGTGTTGGCCCTGAGGGGACTTGGGAAGATAGCCAGGTAGGGCTTCTGTTCTCCTAGTGGTAATTAATACATGGCCTCCTAGGCTGGGGCACACCTTGCCCAAGAAGCAGACTTCAAGAAAAATTGAAGCTCTGGTGTTTGTGCAGAAACCACCCAGTGTGTCCTCCCCTGCCTAAGCTTTACTTACTCTAGGCAGACCCTTACACTGTACACATTACTCTCTGAGCCTTCTGGCCTAGCCATAGGCAGGTATGTCACACCATTCTATAGCCATTCCAAAGACTCCTTACACCCCAGTGGGTCAGGCTTCTTTACTTCTACCTCCAATGATGCCCTGCCTGCAGGCCAATCTGAGAGTGTGCGAGATGTCCAGTTCAGTATCCGGGACTATTTCACATTTGCCTCTACCTTCGAGAATGGCAACGTGCAACTCTGGGACATCCGACGTCCTGACCGATGTGAGAGGATGTTCACAGCCCATAATGGGCCTGTCTTCTGCTGCGACTGGCACCCTGAGGACAGGTGTGATGTGGGGATGTGGGGGCAGCAGGCCTCAAAGAAGTCTCACTAACTTGAGACCTGAAGAGGCAAAGCATGGGGAGCACAGAGCTGGGGAGGGTTCTGTCTTCCAGAGAGTCACTAAGGGCTTGGGTGGGGCTTTCCTGCAGGGGCTGGCTGGCTACAGGTGGACGTGACAAGATGGTGAAAGTCTGGGACATGACCACACACCGTGCCAAGGAGATGCACTGCGTGCAGACCATTGCCTCAGTGGCACGTGTCAAGTGGCGGCCTGAGTGTCGCCACCACCTAGCCACATGCTCGATGATGGTAGATCACAACATCTATGTGTGGGATGTGCGTCGACCCTTTGTGCCAGCTGCTATGTTTGAGGAGCATCGTGATGTCACAACAGGCATCGCCTGGCGCCATCCTCATGACCCCTCCTTTTTGCTCTCTGGCTCCAAGGACAGCACACTGTGCCAGCACCTGTTTCGTGATGCCAGCCAGCCTGTTGAGCGTGCCAACCCTGAGGGCCTCTGCTATGGCCTTTTTGGGGACCTGGCCTTTGCTGCCAAGGAGAGCCTGGTGGCTGCTGAATCTGGACGCAAACCTTACACTGGTGACCGGCGCCATCCCATTTTTTTCAAGCGCAAGCTGGACCCTGCCGAACCTTTTTCAGGCCTTGCCTCTAGTGCCCTCAATGTCTTTGAGATAGAACCTGGTGGTGGGAGTATGAGCTGGTTTGTAGACACAGCTGAGCGTTATGCTTTGGCTGGGCGGCCACTGGCTGAGCTCTGTGACCACAATGCCAAGGTGGCTCGAGAGCTGGGCCGAAACCAGGTAGGTGGGGTTGAGCCAAGGGAAGACCAAGGGCATTGATCTTTGGGGAGGGATTGGCTGCTCTAATAGCTATTTCACCACCTGCCCCAACTGATGACTCTGGTCAGTCCTACCACCAGCACTTGCACCAGTAACTGAGGGTGTTACGATCATACATGGCCAGAGGCAGCCTGATGGCAGGATTCTGGGAAATCATGTAGCCAAAGCCTCTCTTCTGCCTCACTCTTGATGTTCAACCACCTATAGCATGTGCAGAAAGAGCTGCCTCCTATATGCCCACTCTTGGTACCATTGAGCCTCTTGCGGCCTCTTAGTTCTTTCCATGTGCTACTGTAGGATAGAGACTGGGATTTAAATTTTTCCTGTGGTCCAAGAAATTGAGTCCTCAAGGCAGCTGAATGCTGGTGTGTGATTCTGTCTGGGCAGAGGCTTAACCTGGGGTGCTGGGTGTCCAGGGCCCTGTAAGTTGCTGGTGCCTGCCCATAGGTGGCACAGACGTGGACCATGCTGCGAATCATCTACTGTAGCCCTGGTCTGGTGCCTTCTACCAACCTCAACCACAGCGTGGGCAAGGGCAGTTCCTGTGGCCTGCCCCTCATGAACAGGTAGATACTTAGGGTTGGCTCTCCCCCAGAGGATGGGATTATTAGAGCCCAATCGCTCATGAGTCTTCCCTGTCCACAGTTTCAACCTGAAGGACATGGCTCCTGGGTTAGGCAGTGAGACAAGGCTGGATCGAAGCAAAGGGGACACACGAAGTGATACCGTTCTGCTTGATTCCTCTGCCACACTCATCACTAACGAGGGTAGGTTGGAGACCAGGCAGGAATGTTGAGGAGAGTGGGGTTAAGCAGCACACAGTGAGCCACCCCTTGAATGACCTCCCTCTCATGCTGGGTAGATAATGAGGAGACTGAGGGCAGCGATGTGCCCACTGACTACCTGCTCGGTGATGTGGAGGGTGAGGAGGATGAGCTGTATCCACTGGATCCAGAACATGCACACCGTGAGTAAGGACTCTGGTGGGGTGGGGGCAGAAAATATGTGCCTATGAGTGGGGGCTTGGGTAAGGTAGGAGTAGATCAGGGTGGAGCCCCAGACCCACCCAGCTGGTTCCTGCCTCACAGCTGAGGAGCCTGAGTATGTGCTGCCCCAGGAGGCCTTCCCATTACGCCACGAGATTGTGGACACACCATCTGGGCCTGAGCACTTACAGGACAAGGCCGACTCACCACATGTGAGCGGGAATGAGGCGGATGCAGTCTCCTTGGTGCCTGTGGACTCGTCCTTCTCCCTCCTCTCCATCTCACATGCGCTGTATGACAGCCGCCTGCCGCCTGACTTCTTCAGTGTGCTGGTGTGTGACATGCTTCGCTTTTATGCTGAGCAGGGTGATGTGCAGATGGCCGTATCTGTGCTTATCGTGCTAGGTGAACGGGTGCGCAAAGACATCGATGAACAGACCCAGGTGTGTGTGATGGAGCAGGGGTGGGCTTCCCTGGAACAGCTGCTGCCCCAGCACCATCCCTTACATGTTTGGGACAAACCCAGGTTATACTGGTTCTTTGTGTGAGCCAAACCGTCTTCCAGTGTCCTTGCCCTAATGTGCCTAGCTGTTCTAATTTCCTGGTTCCAACCCTTCAGGAGCACTGGTACACATCATACATTGACCTGCTGCAACGGTTCCGCCTCTGGAATGTGTCCAATGAAGTGGTCAAGCTGAGTACCAGTCAAGCTGTCAGCTGTCTCAACCAGGCCTCAACCACCCTGCATGTCAACTGCAGCCACTGCAAGAGGCCCATGAGCAGCCGGGGCTGGGTCTGCGACAGGTGGGGTTATGGGGGTAGCAGCTTGGGGGCTTTAGGTAGCCCAAAAACCCCCGCTGAGGTGCTCTACTGCCTCCAGGTGCCACCGCTGTGCCAGCATGTGTGCTGTCTGCCACCACGTGGTCAAGGGTCTGTTCGTGTGGTGCCAGGGCTGCAGCCACGGCGGCCACCTGCAACACATCATGAAGTGGTTGGAGGGCAGCTCCCAGTGCCCTGCAGGCTGTGGCCATCTCTGCGAGTACTCCTGATCTGCTGCTTGGGGCCTTGGACGGCTTCCACAGGAGCTCAGCGGAGGCCCCCCAAGACTGGACACAGCCTTCAGCCTGCTTCTGTGCCAGGATGGAAAGGGGCTGGAACTTAGAAACTCAATAAAAGAGGCAGGAGTTGCTGTCAAAGTGTTACCAATCGCTCTGCGGGTTGGAGGGCAAGGGCTTCTAGCCGGTCAGTATAGTAACTAGCAGTAGCCAATAGCAGCTCAGTGTGGTTTTCGCGATTTTTCCGGAACTGCTGCTTCAGGGGGCGGGCTAAAGAAGGCCGCTTCCGGGGGCCGACCCGTTGCTCCAACGACAGAGCTACTGGCCCGTGGTGCGCGGGGAGGGAGTTCCCGACGTGCTGCGCGTCGCCATGGCTTTGGTGGTGCGGCCGCGTGTGCCGCTGGCGCTGTGGATGCTGGTGTTGGTTCGGTCCAGCTTGGAAGCAGCGGACGGCGGGGGGTGGTGAGCGACGCAGGGCGGGCTGGAGCGTGGGACAGCATGGGGTTGAGAGTGAGCTGCGATGACCCAGTGTGCCTGCAGGCGGCAGACTTGGCCCGGGACAGACGTGGCTTTGGTGGAGGAGCGCTGCACCGTGGAGCGCAGATCCGATCTCACCTACACAGAATTCATACAGCAGTACGTGTGCCCCACCCCTTCCGCCCAAAGCTCAACGCGGCATCTCCTGACGCAAATGCCCTGACCCCTTCCCAATCTCCAGGATGCGTAAGGCCCATGGACATGCGCCACTGATCTGAACTCCACTCTGCCTTTCCCACAGCTATGCTTTCCTCAGGCCTGTCATCCTTCAGGGACTCACGGACAACTCGGTAGGTGCTGATGCTCCTTACGGGCATCTGGCTCTGCTTGTCCAGCCACTAAATCATCTCACGATCCCTGCAGAAGTTCCGGTCCCTGTGCTCTAGAGAGAGTCTGTTGACCACCTTTGGGGACAACGTGGTTCGGCTGAGCACTGCCAACACCTACTCTTACCAGAAAGGTAAGCTGTCCCACCTCTTAGGGCCTGCCTGGTTGCTGATAACCTTAAGACAGAACCAGCTGGTCCTGATCATGCTCTTTCCCACAGTGGACCTGCCCTTCCAGCAATATGTGGAGCAGCTGCTGTATCCTCAAGACCCTGCTTCTCTAGGCAACGGTGAGCCAGCCTTGGGTAGCAGTGGGGGTGGGGCACCTGGCATTCCCCAGGTGTCACTGCCCATTGTTTTTTGTTGACAGACACTCTGTACTTTTTTGGGGACAACAACTTCACGGAGTGGGCATCACTATTCCGACACTACTCCCCACCCCCATTTCATTTGCTGGGAACCACAGCCGCTTATAGCTTTGGAATCGCAGGTGGGACAGTTTTCCTCAGGACCAGGAGGTATGAGGGGGTCAGTACAGGTTAAATTTAGTCACTACGTCATCACCCCACAGGAGCTGGCTCTGGGGTCCCCTTCCACTGGCATGGGCCTGGGTTCTCTGAAGTGATCTACGGCCGTAAGGTCAGCATGTGGTGATGAGGCTTGGGACATGTTAACTGCAACATGTAAGAGTAACTTTACAATCCTTCCCCTAGCACTGGTTCCTTTACCCACCTGAAAAGATACCCAAGTTCCACCCCAACAAGACTACACTGACTTGGCTTCGGGATACATATCCAGCCCTGGCACCATCTGAAAAACCCCTGGAGTGTACCATTGAGGCTGGTGAGGTCAGTAGCTGGTAGGAGGGAGCCTGTCCAGGCTAAAAGGTCCCCGACTAAACTCTGTGCTCCCCTCCACTTCTCAGGTGCTGTATTTCCCTGACCGATGGTGGCATGCCACACTCAATCTTGACACCAGTGTCTTCATCTCCACCTTCCTTGGCTAGTCAGAACAGGCAGCTGGCAGGCACACACACACCAGGATGTCCCCATGTACTGGTCACAAACTTTATTACAGGAACAGTGGCAGGAGTGGCACCTTCAACCCAACCCACCCCCATCTGCTTTTCCGGCCCAGAAAAAAGATGAAAAGGCTCACAGACCAGCAGAAGGCTATGTTGAGAGGGAAGCAGTCCAGGGCCCACCAGCAGAACTGATGGGGGCAGGCACATTGACAAAAATTATATACAGGAACTAGGGCTTCTGCCTCTGGACCCTACAGAGCCAAGGTATCAGGCAAGGTGAAGCAGTGGGCCTCAGTAGTCCTCCACCCAGCCATTCTCAGAGATGAATGCATCGATGACCTCCTTCATGGCCAGGTTGGGGATGAGCTGTTCCTGGGTCAAGGGGCTCCGTGTCACAGGGTCAAAGTGGCCCACACGCTGCAGTGACAACAAGGTCAGAGTGCTCTGTGTGCCAGTGTGTGCCTCCAGCCCTGGTTTTGAAGCTCATAAGCCCTTACCTGCAGATGCTCCTCAATGTCCTTACGGTCATAGGTGATGCCACTTGGTGTGATACAAGGTTCCCTCATCAGCTCGAAGCTGATCTTGCCACACAGATAGTCAGGAATATCTCGCTTCTATAGCACACAGGGACAGTGTAAGGGCCCAGGAAAGGAACTCTGCTTCACTTGCTACTTACAGCCTTCAGAGAAGATGCTCACCTTTCTCTTTTCATCTACCTGAGAGAAGAGCTCATCCATGTCTGCCATGTACTTGTCCTGCAAAGAATTGAATACTGTGTGTGGGCCACTTGAATATTCTTCATGCTTAAGAGACATACCAACATGAACCAGGGGCACTGTTATCATGTCACACATGGGGAAAGTCACATGTGAGTGAGGGCACCCTCAGTTACATGCACACACACACACAGACCCTCATGTGGGCCTAGGGCACCCTCACGTGCTTGGCCTCAATGCAGGCCTGCTGGGCTCGGATATGGCCATCATCCTCGTCACCCTCGTGATTTCGCTGACACTCTTCCAGCTCCCTGAGGATTGACCAGGAGCTAGTCAGAGGTGAACCTGGCCATGAGATCAGAGCCTACTCCCACCTCAAGCCTCTTCCCTGTCAGCTTCCTGTCTACCCATGTCAGCCTTTCAATAAACACTTGTGTTGGTGACTCAGCTTAACCTGAGAAAGAGTGGCCTGGTGGGGGAGGAGGCACACCTCTCACGCTCAGCAGTGATGAGCCTAGTGAGATAGGAGTGCAGCTCACTCTCCTGGTGGATGCGTCGCTCTTCAATGCTGTTCCAGCGCTTCTTCTTGGCAATGCGCAGAGCACTAGGGATGTCATCCCCAAAGTTAAGCCGCTGCTCTTTGGCCAGGCTGTAGGCTGAGAAAATGGAGTCATCAGGTCACACGAGCTGGTCCACCCTCCTGGCCCCAGGTCCCCTGTGACAAGACAACTTGTCAGTTCACCTCGCTGCAGATTGGCAATAGCCTCGTCATAATTCTCCATCTCTAGCTGGCACTGCCCCAGGAAGAAATGTGCCTTCACAGACTGTCCATCCAGTTCCAGGGCCCGCCGACAGTCAGCCAGTGCTTGTTCAGGCTGCTGCATCTTCAGGTAGCACAGAGCACGGTTGGTGTAGTATACAGCCACCAGGGGATTCCGGGTCTGGAGACCAAGGCCAGTGGTGTGAAGGTGTGGGCTCTGCCACTTCCTCTCACACCCAGGTGCCCAGATTCTGTCCCAGGTTGGCTCATAACTGGGATGAAGAACTAAAAGTTTCTCAGTTGTCAGCGCCGGAATGCTCGTTTGGCCCACCCTCAACTCCAGCTGATTTTGTAAGGAAACGTTCCTCAAACTTATATGGTTCTCAGCTTTGGACCTTGGGTCCTCAAGGGGCAGAGGTATCCCGCCTCCAGCCCAGCCAGCCCCAAGCATCTCATCGCCTCATCCCACCTGCCAGTGCCAGGGTGTTCTAGCACAGACTACAGAGCCGCGCCCAAGTGCCCGGAAAACAAGGTCGCTGCGAGCTTCCAGAGGCAGGATTGAGGAGAATCCCGGGCCCGCCCCCACCTCCCGGCACTCACGATGGCGCGGCCGTAGCAGGCCGCCGCCTCCGGGTACTTGCGACCCACGAAGAGCCGGTTGCCCTGTTCCTTGAGCTCCTGTGCGCTAGGGCTCTTCTCTGGGCTGCCGCCACCAGCACCCATTCGCGCGCTACCTTCCTTTTCCTCCTTGCCCTTCATGGCGCCGCACGGCACGGCCCGGGCTCTGTTCCCAGGGTCCGTGCCCGGCGGCCTTGCGCCCGCAGCCCGCGGAGCGACCCGCACGGCCCGGTCAGGCAATCCGCCACCGGAACTTCCGGCGCGAGGCGGGCCCGCGGGAGGTCACGTGTCTCGGGCGGGGCCCCGCGCCCTGAGAGCCCAAGGGTGGTGCATCGCAATTCCAGGCACTCACTGTGTCCCGCTCCCCTAGTCTGGCCCTGCCCTGCAGTGCTCCGGGACTCCATGCCGTGTGGACTTAGCTGCTGCCCGCTTGCTGAGGGGCTGCAAAGACCTGAGTCGCTGGGCCACCGTCTTGACACGCCACAGAAAGGTCATGCGGGAGTTCGCGGTCGTATTTGGGCGGCTGGACGCCGTGGACCGCTGGTAGGGCATCGAGGACAAGGCGGATAACCAAGGCAGAGGAGTCCACGACCTGAACCACCCTCATTATCGGGAGGAGCTGCCCACAGTCATTTGGTGTAGGGCGGAGAAGCGCATGATTTGGGAGAATTTGCAGTGACTGGTGGTGGGGAAACTGAGAGGGGAGGGACTATGGAGATCCACGTGGGACACGTGGGCGAGGCTTCGCCTGGGGGCGTGGCCACATGAAGGAGCGGGGCTCTGACGGACAAGCTTCCCTAGGAGGTCCAAGTCCAGCACTCAGGCCTCCTGACCCGTAGAGTGGTCAAGTACGGCTGCATTGCAGCAGCTGGTGGTTGTCAACACACACACCTCTCCCGAGCTGGTGGTACCATGTTTGGCCACCACCTTCCTCCTGCCATTCCTGTGAATTACAGTCACAAAGCTGTGCCTCCTCTGAGGCATGGGCCCCCGACACTGCCTCTGTTGAGCCGGGGCACGAATTGGGCTCTGTTGTCTTTGCCTATGAGGTGGGCACATGGTGTGTCACAGGAGCCTGGGCAGCTGCTCCAGGATGTTGTCACAAGAGCTTCTCTTTTTTTTTTTTTTTTTTGTCTTTTTCATTTTTATCAGTACCGGGGATCGATTGCAAGCACCTGCTTGCAAGGCAGGTGCTTATGCCACTGAGCTAAATCCCCAGCCCAAGAGCTTCTCTTTCAATGTCTACTGCTGTCATGAGAGTTGGAATTCTGGAGCTCAGCTTTCCTGTCCAATGAGACAGTGGCTGTAGTGCCTGGCCTGCTAAAACTGCAGTATATTCCCATGCACTACCTACTGTACCTGCACAAGGCACAAGAGGTGTTCCAGCCCAAAGTAAATGGACTGCTGGTGGGCTTGGAGTACATCCAAGATCCCAGTCAGGGTGGAGTGAGTGGCTGGTGCCTTTGGGCCCCTACTCCCTGGGTCCCTTCCCAACCAGAGCCCATCAGAGCCATGGACCTGTCACCTTGTGGAAAGTTTTGTGGAGCTGGGCCATGAGACAGTAGCTGTGCCTAGATGTGCTGCCTGACCTTTGCACTAGCATGGTTGCTCATAAGGATGCAAGGCAGGTCAAAAAGCACAGGACTCAGACCAAATGAACTTGGCTGTGGCCTAAGGCCTGGCTGTTCATTTGCCATGAGACATCACAATGCAGGTTTCTTGAAAGCAGGCTGGATGAATAAGAGGCTTAGTGCCCCCAGAATTCAATAAAAGCTTGCTGAACTCAGCCTGACCAGGACCCCAGTCCCTCCCCTGGTACTCTAGGTCCTACATAAACACAGGGCCTCTGGCCTTCCAACTATTCCAGCACTGTTAAATAACTCTAGCATCTCCTGCCAGGTACACAGGGTCAAGGGGTATTAAGTCCAAGTCCTCTTCATGTGTAGGAGCATCCCTTGCTGTCTTGTTAGCAGGGTGAGAGTAGTTAAGCCTCCAGAGCCCCAGGATAAGTACCTAGTGCAGTGTAAAATATTTATTTATTCTCCAAAAAGGCTCAGACTGCAAATCCTGGGGGAGGAGTGGGCAGGATTAGGTCTGCTCTGGGACCACCTTTGGGGACCTCCCCCCAGGCCTGGGAGGGGAAACCCAGGGATGGAGTGAGGCTCAGCCTCAGCTGGTAGACTACTAGGTCCACCTGCTGCTGCAGGGTAAAGCAGCCTTGAGATGTCCACTTATGGAGGGCAGGTGTGCAGACCTGCCTGGTGGCTGGACACCACATGCCCATTTGGCCCTTGGGAGTAGGTCAGGGCGGTGGGGGGATGTGGGCACCCAGCAGGTCATAGGCGAAGACGTTCCAGAAGATAGCGAAGAGCAGGAAGGTGCCGTAGGCAAGCAGCACCACCCACCAGCCACACTGGTCCTGCAGACGCTCCTCATAACTGCGCAGGATGGTGAGGCCCATGCTCACCCCCACCACCGCACCTGCCAGGTGCGCCATGAAGCTGGGCTGTGGGCCTGAGGCAGGCAGTGGTGGGGAGAAGCGCAGCCACACAGCCCGGCCCACCTCGGAGCTCACTGCAGAAGGAGCAACAGGTGGGAGGTGCCCAGTCTGCAGGCTGAGGGCCCCCAGCCCCCACCCAGCCCCCTACTCACTGCACACCAGGGCCAGCACCATCCTCAGCAGCTTGTAGGGACATCTCATCCCAGCCCAGTTCTGAGGAGGGCATGCAGACAGAAAGACCATGAGGTGGGCCAGGTGGTCCCCTTCCCACACCCCACCAGACAGCCCAGTTACCATGACAACGTTGGCCAAATGTGCTGAGCACAGGGCATAGACCCCGCCAGAGCCCCCCACTACAGGGGCACGCATGTCGGTGATGGAGACAGTCAAGGAGCCTGCATGAGCAGAGGCAGGGGTGAGGGCTCAGCCAGCCAGCGAGGTCAACAGGGGGCCCATGCCCACCTCACCTGCCAGCACTCCTGCCAGGTAGAGCAGACTGATGCGGAGTAAGCCATGCACCATCTCCAAGGGCACCCCGATCATCAGCTGCAGGAGAGCATTGAACCCCAGCTGCTCCAGCCTGGCCACGTGGGGACAAATAAGCAGGAGGGGTAGGGTGAGCAGGATGGCCTGCCCTCAAACTACTTCATGCTTCCTCTCCCCCAGGCTGAGCCTTCTTTATTGAAGGGGCAGAGTGCTGAGGGTGCTCACCATCTGGCTCCCCACTCACCCAACATGCATGAACATATAGGTGAGGAAGCGCCATGCTCGGGCACGGTGCCCAGGGTGGTATACAAGGGGGCTCTTCATGTACTCAGGGTGGTAGGTTTGCAGCACCCACTTGTTGAGGCGGGCCCCGTAACACAGGAACACAACAATCTGCAGACACAGTATAGTTGGTCAGAGACAGGGATTTTTAAGGCTCACGGGGTGGCGGGTGGGCAGCCCACCTGGGCAAGAGTGACTGAGGCCATGAACACGGGGGGCGGGCAGCTGCGGTGCCTGTAGAAGTACCAGCGGCGGTCCACCTCACAGGGCAGGATCTCATAGGCCACATAGCGCACAAACCGCTTGTAGACACCCAGCCCTGGCTCATCCAGCAGCCCATCTCGGGGCAGCGCCCGTTGTCCATTAGCGATGGCCCGCTTGAAGCTACTGGAACGCTTGCTGCTGATCTGGGGGGCAGGGGCCTGAGTGTGGGCCACAGTGTCATTCAAATGGCACCCCTACCCTTGTGGGTTGGAGGGCCTGCCCACACCCACAAACCCTCCCCAGGGACAGGCCACCTCTGCCCACCCTATTTTGACTAGGGTGCTGTGCCTAGCCAGGCCTAGGCCCCGCCCCTATTTGCCCACCCACCATGGCACTGACCAGGTCCACCAGCTCTTGGTAGCAGATCTGGCCCCGCTCGTTGCTCTGGGCCAAGGCCACCAGCATGTCCAGCTTGGCTGGGTCCAGGGGCAGCTCATGGCTGTGCACCAGACCAGCAAAGGTGTCCGCACCAATGAAGCCTGTGTTCTCAGGGTCCAGCTGCTGCGGTGGAGGAGCCGCAGGCCAGTGGCTGAGGGGTGCCTCGGATTGGCAGGCTGGTTCCTGGGATCCTGGCTGGTCACAGATCTTAGGCCTGCCGCTCCTGAGTTCCCCAGGGTATCCCCCACCCTACCTCATGCTCCACCCGCCAGTTCTGAAAAGAGTGGGCCCCTCAGAGAACGCCCACCCTCCCACCCTACTTTCCTTCAAGGCCGACCAGCAGTTTTCTGGTCTAGGCATAGGGCCACAAGGCGTGTTGGGAAGGGGCTTAGGAGCCACCATCGCCCCCGCCCCGCTTGCATCAGGCGGGCCCCCTACCCTGGGTTCCGTGACGGAAAGCGCTGCTTCTACCCTACGCACCTGCTCCTGGATGAGCTGCAGCAGAGAGCTTCTGTCCATAGAGCCGGGCCGCGGGCCGGGGTCGGCCGAGGCCGGGAGGGGCTGCTCTGCGGAAAGCTCCGCTCCGCCCCGGCCGGCCCGCTCTGCCTGCTCGGTTCAGCCCGCGCAGCTCTCGGACCGCGTCACGGAGCCGCGCACACGGCGCTCCTGCGCGCACGCGCCTCACACGTACACCCAAGGCAGCCACAGGACCACTCAGCGCACTGTCCCAGCTGAGTACCGCTCTCGAGCAGAGCGTTTCAGAAGCTCCTCCCACGAAGTTGCTACATCTAAAAACTTCTACTGCTGTGAGAGACCCTTCAGACTCCCTATCCAGTCTTCTCTGACTCGGGGCTCAGCACGAACACGAACGTCACCTCCAGGAAGCCTTCCCAGGACACCCTGCTGCCCATGACTCCCCAGACTGATTCTGTGGTATTATAATCCACCGTTTCTGCCCAGGGCTCAGGGCGCTCTGAAAGTGCCAGGGTGTGTTTTAGAGACACCTATCCCTATCCCTAGCACTGCTGCAAGGAGGCTCCATGCAAGCTCCAAGTCAGCTGGCAAAGGTTCCCAACACCTGCTCGTAACTGTGGCAAAGGTTCCCAACACCTGCTCGTAACTGTCCCCACAGCGTCCAAAACCAATTTATATGCCAAGCTAATCCTGCAGTCCCAGGGCCAGGAGCAGAGTACCTCTGAAGGAAGGAATACAGCAAGGATAAGTGATGCTGCTAGTAATGGTAGACAGACCCTCCAATCATGGGGATGGCAGACCAAAGGGATGCACAGAACAATGGCAAACCCTCCCTGGACCCTGCCTGCTGTCTCAGAGATACAATGGTGTCATCACAGATGGGGAGGGGGGATAAAGTAGACTATAACTAGCATCCTGCCCTGACCCAATATGGCCCCAGGCCCAAATCCAGATCCTTGAAATCAGTTATGACTGAGGGTATGTAGACAGTGCTGGGAGAAGTACAGACACTTGGGTTACTGAAGGGTATGTTGTGGACCATATTGGCCATGCTTTCCCCTTAGGCCAGGGTTCCAGTTATACTATTCCTGGCAGGTGATGACAACAGGTGGGTCTCAGAATGGCCCAGCTAGAGCTGGAGTATAGGGAGTATGCCATGGGGGCACATTCAGTCCTAGAGTCAGGTAGGAAGACCTTAGGCAGGGAAAGTTACATTACCAGAGAATGTACTGTCACCACACAGGGACTGTCACCCTGAAATTTCAAGACTGATGAATGCTGATGCTTCTGGACCACATCTAGGCATGACTGGACTTCCAAAGGCTACCTATCACACTGGCCTTGGGGACTGTGGAACAGGTGGCATACAGGGGTCAGGGGACATTTCTCGCCCATACCAAAATAAAGCATGTATCTTAGACTGACTCAGGAAAAACTGTCTTCAGAACCAGAAGTGGAAAAGACAGAAGTTTAATTTGGAAATCTGTCTTCTGTTGCCAGTGTGGCCATGGGCAAAGATTTTAACTGGACGGAATGGTAGGGGCTGCACTCAGTCTAGCCACTTCCTCTTCTGGCCACCTCCTGTGGCCCCTGGATACTCACTGACTACTGAGACAAAGAAAAAGGCAGGAAGACCTGAGAACCCCAGGGCTGGCCCCCCACTTCCTACCCATGACCCCAGTCTCCCACTCACAAGTGCCCAAAAGAGAGAGGCCATGTGGACAGTACACCTGCACCCTACCATCAGGCCAAGCCAGGTCACAGCCCAGCCTAGGGTAGTCTATCTTCAGAAGCAAAGACTGAGACAGACAGATGCTTGCTCCCCAAGCAGTGGTCCCACACCAGTGCCTTAGGGCTCTTGCTGTATGGGGCTGAAAACCCACACCACATGGGGTCCCATAGCAGGCTGTGCCACAGTTTCCATGGCCATCATCGGCTCTTCACCAGGACCCTGTAGAGTGAGAAGCTGAGAACTGCTGCCACAGCAGCTCCAACAGCTACCAGCATTCCCCGGAGCCAGAAGGAGGTGGGGTGCAGCTCTGTGTGAGCCAGATGTCTGCAGGAAAGAGGGGTACTCAGGGTTTGTGCCTGCACTCTTGCTGCTGTACCCCTCCACTTTGTCTCAGGTGGCCAGCAGAGGCCAGGCCACAGAATCCCAGCACAACCAGTAGCAGACACCAATAGCCCTGGGATAGGACAGGCCACCCTCCCCTGAGCTGTGGTGCAGACACCCACGGGAATGCAGCCATGGTGGCCAATCGGGTGAAGATATCAGTGTTTGGCAGGGCTTGGCCTTCACAAGAGAACAGGGCTGGGGCGGGTAGTCGGTGCCGGCGACAAAACTCAGCTGGTGACAGGCCTGGTGGGGAAACACCTTCAGGCAGGTCAGCCTTAGAGGAGACGAAGAGGCAGGGAGTCTGGCCGTCCATGTAATGGCGCTGTGGAGGATGGGCCGTGTGAAGGCTGAGCTGTCTGCCCCAACTCACAGCTGTGCTCTCCAACAAGACCCCAGCCCCAGCCTTGCCTTGTAGATGCTGGCACAGTACAGAAAGGAGGTGGGGTCACTGCCATCGAACATCAGGCAGGCAACATCACAGGCAGCATCAGGTGAGGTGGCCGGCAGGCTGTCTGTGCCCACTTCACACAGCTGGGAGAAATAGTGACCTTAGGAGGTGGTCCCAAGGACTGGGTCTCCCAGGGCTGCCCTGAGAAAGCTCCACAAGGAGGGTGTCCCAGCCCACCCTCAGGGTCAGTGTGTGGCTGGCACTCACGATCAGGTATTTCTCTTGCCCATTGATCTGTACTGTGTCAATGGCATAGACAGGAGAGTCCTGGGGGAATGGGCTGGTGTCCTGGTTTTGAGAGGCAGAAGGGAGACCATGATGCTCACTGGCCCTAATATTTCCAGAGTATACTTTCCTGTCCGACTCCCTCTTGGGGCACGGGGGTTTCTCCATGGGCACTCACCCCAAGGCTGTGGCCAAGGAAGGCTTGCAGAAAGGAAGACTTGCCCACTCCTTGGGCCCCCACCACCTTGCACATGAGGACATTCCGCTGTGTTTGACCCTTTTCTTGGTCTAGTCTCTTTTCACGGGTGACTGCAAGGGTGAACTCAGGTGAGGAAAGCTGCAGGGAGAGCTGAGCCCGAGACCCAAGGGGTAGCTGCCCACCTGTGATGGCCTGAGCCTGTGACTCCTGTTCACATAGGGTAGGGTAGCCCAGGTAGCCAAGGTGTTCAAGGCAATGTTGGACATCTAAGTAGGTTACCAGGCTGAAGGCAGGTGGGAGGCACAATGTCACAGTGAGGAATGTACAGGTGGACAGGTGTGGATGGGTATCCAGGGAATCACTTACGTCCACTGGCAGAGATACCCATGCAGAGTCAGTCGGCCTGAGTCAGTGCGAACAGTGTGTGAAAGCTCAGGGCCCCAGGGGGCTTCTGGGAACACACTGAAGAGGTTCTGCAGCTCCTCCATCGAGAGGGCACCATCACAGTCCTGGGAGCAGAGGGTGGACATGACGTGTGCTGGGAAGGTGGCAGGGGTTGGCAAGGGTGGCGGGGCTCACCTGGTCATGCTTCTCAAAGACCTGTTGCACAAACTGGTAGCCATGGTGGTTGAGCTCAGTGCTACAGCCAGGGGGCACGTGGAGCCTGCAAGGGACACCACACCCTTCTGGTTCCCAGGAAACCCTGTGCTTTGGGTTGGCACACCTCCTGATGTCACCCTGCTCATCCCATCTGTGCTGTCAAGCCTCCCAGGGTTCCTACAGCCCTTCATCCCACAGAGGTGGGAGCAGACAAGGAGGATAACATCAGTTTCTGTGGGAGGCCTGGCTGAGTCCCTTGGTCACAAGACCATCCCATATCAGAGCACTGACACAGGCCCTCAATTGGTACTATGTAGACAGCAAGGAGGTTGAGGCAGATCTGGACCAGAAAACCAGTGCAATAGAGTACATTCCTGGCTGCCAAGGGGTTCTTTGTTCCTAGAAGGGTGGATCTGACATCCCACGTACTACTCACGGTGGGAAGAGGTAGTCAGTGGTCAGCTCCAGCAAGTCACTGTAGCCAAAACGCCGTAGGATGGCCCATGTGGTTTCATGCCGGCCACGCTGGATGAAGAGTGTGTTCAAGAAGAGGAAGCCTGTGGGGAGCAGAGGAGGTAGTACCCAGCACAGCACAGCCCACTCCCCACAGAAGGGCCTGGGTGGGATAGCTGTCTCTCACCATCCAGGGTCAGCCGGTCATCCTGCACACCACCTGGCACATTCTTGCATACCACCCGCTTCACATCCTCCAAGGCTTGTGGGGCCAGGGGGTGGCCAAAGCAGGACTTCTACCTCCAAGAAGTTGCTTTAGATCAGCTAGCTGTCCTTGGCTGTCAGGTCATATCACTGAGAGTGATTGAGGCATGGGGGTAGGTACTATGGGGCAGGGTACACACCTGGAAAGCATTGAGCTCCTCATCACTGAGCGAGTTGTCCAAGTCCTGATCTGAGAGCCTGAAGATCCGAGTGAGGGCCTGGGCACACTTGGGCCTCAGCTGCAGGGACAGCAGCTCAGTGCTGTAGGTGACTTTTGCCTGGTCCACCCTGCACCCCCCACTCTGTTTATTCTCCTCACCCAATACCCACAAGTGCTCCACGGCAGAGTGTGAGGCTCTCACCTACTGCTCACCTGCTTTGTCTCAGGGTCATAGAGGGGGGCTGTAGGGTGCAGAACAGCCTTCTGGGCATAGTAGAACAACTCTGAGATGTTCCTCAAGTGCTTGGCTGAACACTTGGAAGAGTACAGGACAGGACAAAATCCAGGAGGCACCCAAAGAAAATAGAGGGATAGGGTCAGGCTTGCCACACACAGGTACCTGCTGAAAGGTCTCCACATTCCTGTCCTCACCCTGGCCCCTTCCTTCCTCCTTCCATGCTTTCCTCACATGCTCACCTCCACACAGGTCTCTATCTCAGGAAATTGGCTCATGATGGGCAACACAGCTTCCATGCTGCTCCCTGGCTGCAGGTCTGACTTGTTGCCCACCAGAATGATAGGCACCCTGGGGAGATGCTCATGGTCATTTGGGGTGGGGAGCTGGTAGCCCCTACTACCAACTCCCCAGGCCCTGCTTGTTACCTGGGCCCACTTCCAGTTCTGCCATTCACCAGTGGGATCCACTTGGTTCGGATCTGAAAGGTAAATGACACAAGGCTACCTACTCAGCCCACGGTGCCTGCCTGGAGCTTGCACCAGGCTCAAGGAAAGAAAAGGCTGAAGCCAAGTGGTGATCAAAGTTATAGCCACTAGAATAAAGCTGGTGGAAGAAAAGGAGATAGCACAGGACATGAGCTGATCTGAGCAGCTGTGAACCACCCCTCCACAAACAGACCGGGGTCCCAGACCCACAAGCAAACCTCTGCCCATTCCCCATGAGATTCTAGGGCCAGCGAAGGTCTAAACAGTTTAGATTGGTCATTCTAGGCTCTCTCTATGGAGCTAAGGGTCCAAGAAGACTGACCTCAATCAGAAGTATGGGGATCCCTAAGACAACAGTCACAGGACTGACCATAAAAGTGGGTAAGGATCCATTTGGACCACAAAGGTCCACTATATGCCATCTGGGTCTACAGTGAGGACAGGCTGCTGACTGACCCAGGTGCCAACAATAGGCACCTGGGACAGATGGGAAACCCCCACCTGCTCACCTTCTCAATGGTGGCCTCTTCAGACACATCATATACCACACACACCACATTTGCCTGTAGAGGAAACAGCGAGGCTCACAGTGACCAAAAGCTACTTCACATATTCAAAGGCTCCAGTATGTCCCAAGTGTGGACTCAAGGCCCAGGAAACCCACTATTTCTGGAACCTGCCCCAGCCAGATGCCTATAGGGCAAGTGATCCGCAGCATTGTCACACTGGGGACTGGAAGCCTCAGAGGATCACCCAAGCCCTGTGGTCCCAATGCAGCCACTAGATCCCTGCTTCATGGGTCTGGTCAATAGCTCCCAAGTGCTCAAGCCAGACATCATCTGGAGTAGAGGGATATAGGTAAAAAGGGACCCATCTATAGCCTCTACTTCTTAGTTTCACTTCACAACAAGCAACCAGAGACAGAGAACAGAGATGAGATAAGCCTACCCAGCCTGCCCATTGATGTCCTACGTTCATGACTAAGACAACAAATGCAGGGGGCCAGGGATTTAGCTCAGTGGCACAAGCGCTTGCCTGACAGGCTCGAGGTGGTGAGTTCAATCCTTGGTACCAAAAAAGATAAAAGAAAAAAAAAAAAAAAGACAACACATGCAGGTCACAGATGATCCTGCAAGGGCTGAGTCCTGGCATATACATCCATTATTATCATGTGAATCCCAGTTAAATATGACTCCCACCACAGCTTGGAGGTCCAGGGCAATGAATCAGAACAGAGACAGGACAAAAAGAGAGGTTCAAGGGGATACTATGAAAGACATGGGACTATTCTTCACAGACCCGAGGTCTCTTCTCTCCCTGAGTACTACTGAAGGGGATAGATTGGTCCTAGCTGTGGAAGGCTGTATTGTGGAAGTCATAACTACTACTGGGGGGTCAGAGTTCACCAAAGATTTATCTGGCTGTGGACAGCCCAGGAGCTTAATCCAGCTCCCCAGACAGGTAAAGCTGATTAGGCCGAGGTGGATGTGGATGAGAGCACTGAGCCATGCCTGGAATGTGTCGCACCTTGTGGATCTCATCCTGGAGCTCCTCATCCGTCTGCTCGGATTCTAAGAGGAAAGACAGACTGCTGCAGATCCTCTACAGGAAAGACAGGGGAGGTGGCCCATGGTCGGTGCGACTGCTACCTGAGTAGTCCACGATGTGGGTGGGCACCTTCTCTGGAGTGACATCTGCGGGGATGGTGATCTCCTCTGCTCGGGCTGGGACCTACAAGAGGTAAGAGGTGACCTGGTCCTAATCCTTAAGCCCTGGCGCTGAGACCCCGTTCCCCTACCCGGCTCTCAGCGCCCACGCACCTCCTCTGGGAACTCCTCGCCCACCAGTGACAGGATCAGCGACGTCTTCCCAACTTGGGCTGTGCAGGCGGGGCGGGGCGATGACACAGGGAGCATAAATTACAGCGTCCGGTCCACCCACCCCACGACCCGCCAGCGGCCAGGCACCTACCCTCACCCAGCAGTAGGATGCGCACGTCTCGCCTCATAGCTGTGCCTACTCCTGCCCCCCTGGGTCCTGACCCGACCTCAAACCTCGACCCCCGATTTGACCCCGCGAGTTCCCCGCCCCTCTCCTGTGTGCCCACACTTCCGGGATCTAGCCGAACTTGTATTTCCGGTCTTATCCGCGCAGCCGCACTAGGCGGGGGCGGTGCTACAGTGCTAGTGCAGGAGCACGCCCAATCTTGTTTGCCTTGCCGGTCTCTGTGGCGACTTACAGCTGCAGGTGAGCAGAAAAGGGATGGTTCGGGATTTGGAGCAGAAGGGTGTGGGGCAGGGGACGACTGGTGTGACCAATGGAGATGCAAAGATAGGGCCATAATAAAATGGTGTAGCAAAATACAATAAATGCCTGTTTATTTAAACAGTACAAGGTAGAAACATTAAAAAAAAATCCTTGGGTGAAAAGCAAACAGGTATTCTAATTTTTTTTTTCTGTGCTGAGCACGTGCTCTACCAGAGTTACACCCCCAAGTTCTTTAAGTCCTTTTGGGTCACCAGGATTCAAGACAGCTTAGTCTTGACAATTTAGAGTCTGTTCTGTCCCAGTTATCTTGGTCCATCAGGCCACCATCCACACTGGCTGCTGTGCCCCAGGGTACCTGGGAAGACAGGTTCACTGCAGCTCAGGGGCTCAGGACCTCCCACACCAGGATCTCACTGTGGGCCACTGTGAAGAGCAGCCTGCCTGATGGGGTGAACCTGCACAGGTGCACCACATCATCATGGCCAGCAAACTCTTGGGTGGTCCCTAACGTGCAGTCCACCATGCTCAGTGTGCACTCTGTGGGCAAAAGGTATAGGTGGGCAGGTCAGGCAGTACAGTTCAGAGTTGTCCATTCCTACCCTGTGTCCCTGACTGGGCATGGTGTTGGCATAGGTAACTAGTGATGCTACAGGTTTGGGGCAGCCTCACACTTGGGTTCCTATGGCCCAGGTAAGTCCTCTCTGTTGTTAGTACATTCCCACTCAGACCCCAGCCAGTGCTGTGTTGGGTGCTCCCCCACCTAGGATCCCAAGACTAAGTACTCTGGAGCAGGCATCTTCTCATATCCCGTTGTGGACAAGGAGTCTGAGGCACAGAGGTGAGGTATATACAGGGAAGTGGGGGAGGGTGCAACTAAGCTGACTTGGGCTCCACCTAAGGCAGACCTCAGTCTGCATCTATCAGCACTTACCAGAAAAGCCAACAGCCATGAGGTGGGCCCCAGGTGACAGGCTTAGGGACATGGCACAAGAGGGCAGCATTATCTTCTCTACCACCTGTAGATAGCTAGGATGAAGCTTAGGGTCTCTAGGCCAGGACAGTCATAGCTGTTTGCTATATATCTCAGGCTCTCATAGCCCCAATCCTGAGCTCCAAAGCCCTGGACACTAAGGTTGCTAGCACCAAGCAGGTAGATACACACACCTGCTTCTGGCGGAGGCTGTAGAAGGCCACCTCTTCATGTGTGCCAAAACCCACATATACCAGCAGTGCCAGGTCCCAAGGGCAGAAGGTGGCAAGGGAGGGTGGCAGGAGGCCTGATGTCTGCAGAGGAATAGAACATGCTGCAGCAGGGTGGGCAGGCATAGTCACCACCCATGTATTACTGGACACTTACCTCCAAAGCAGCAGGCACTGGGAAGCTCAACCAGTCCAGAAGTTTGCAATGGTTCTCTGGCCAATTGGAAGCCCAGACACTGACCCGTTGGTCTTCACTGACAGCAAGCCACAGGTCTTCACCCTCCACCCCTAGATCTACATACTGGGGATTGAGGATTATGAGTACGTCCTACCCCAAGGTACCCACCATCTTACCTGGCCTCATGCTAGGTCCCTCCCCACCAGCTCTTGAGGATGCTTCACCTCTTTATATGTGCTCTGGATGACAGAGATTGGGGCACCCTGGTGGTCACGCAGCACACGGAAGGTCATTCCCACACGGGGGCGGCTCACTGCCACAAGTCCATCTTTGTCTCCAGAGAGGATGGTCTGACCTGGGCAGGGACCATGCAAACACCCTATGAGGCCAGCCCCCAGCCTGGAAGTCTGATGTGGTCACCCCACATACCCCCAAGCTGCTGACCATCGGTGGAGAAGGCAATGGCTGTCAGCGCAGACCGGTGGGGATGCATCTTGAGCTCCATTGCTGTACGGGAGATGCTGAAGACACGCAGTGTGCCATCACTATAGCCTGCTACCACCTGCTGCTGCTCTGGGTGTCCACAGGATGGGGGGCTCCATGCAAGGCAGAGGCAGCTCTGGGGACCCATGGTGGGAAAACCTCAGCATGCCCCTGGAAGGGGCAACAGAGCACCAGCCCCAAGGCTAAGGCCAGAGGGAGCCCCTACCCACTTCCACATACCTGGTTTAACACCTGGAACTGGACCACCAGCTCCATGCTGGCCAAGGACCATACCCTCACACTCCCATCCTCACCACAGGTGGCACAGTATGACTCGTCAGGGCTGAAGACCACTTCATTCACCTGTGGGGACCCCACTGGGCTAAGAGGACACCACAGAGGGAACTTTCCTACCCCAGTTGCTAAGGCTAGCCTGTCCACACAGAGCACTTGTCTCCTGCCCAAGCCTGTCTGGCCTAGACACCTCCAGATGGCATAAAGACCGTTCTCCAGAATTGGTGAGCCCCACCAATGGGACATGAACCTCTGTAAAAGGATTATGTGGCAGAATTTGAAATACAGTAAGTAACCATGTGCTTTTAGCAGACTGTAGGGAAAAACACAAAGGCACTCCCAGCTTAGTTTCGTAGTTATGACATTGGTAGCCTCATGGTTTTTCCTTGTGGCTGATTGTATGCCAAGGGAAGAAGCAGATATGATACCATGTAGGTATCACTAAGAATCAAGGATTTTTTTTTTTTTTTTGTACAGGGGATCAAACTCATAACCTTACGCATTGCAGGCAGGCACTTGTGCCACTGAGCTATATCTGCAGCCCAGAATCAGGGATTTTTGAAGAAAAGAGGTACATGTGGCATGTGCCACTGAGGATCATTGAAAAGGCCCAGCACTGAATTACAGTTTCAAGTGCAAGTGTAAACTCATGGTGTATTTCATTTTAGGAAGATAATTTAGAGCTGGGATACAGTTTAGAAGTACAGTGCTTAGAGCGCTTGCCTAGTATTGTAAGACCCGGGCTTAATCCCAGCACTTAAAAAAAAAAAAAAGAAAAGAAAAGAACATGCTGCTACCTCATGAACCTGGAAGATAAGATGTTCAGTGAGGAAAGCAGATGCAGTGATTGCAGAGTATGGGACCCATTCATGTGGACTGCCCAAGAAGCAAACCCATGAAAACAGAGAACTGATCACTGGTTATTAGGAATGAAGGGATCAGAATTGAGGAGTAGTTGCTTGATAAGTAGGGGTTATCACCTTTCTGAGGTGATAAAAAAAGGCTCTGAGGGCTGGGGATTTAGCTAAGCCGTGTAAGCACCTGCCGGGCAAGTGCAAGGCCATGAGTTCAATCCCTGGCAAAAAAAAAAAAAAAAAAAAAAAAAAAAAAAAAAAAAAAAAAAGAACAAAAAGCCTCTGAAATTGATTGAGATGATGGCACATAACTCTATTGAAGACACTAACAGCCACTCATTTTAAATGGATTAGGGACATGGTTGGTAAATTATGACTCAGTAAATCTGTTACCATTCAGAAAAGTAACCCTCACTCATCTCCATTTTAAACTCAGATTAATTAGCAGCTACCCTGATCTTCAAATAAGTAATTCTCCCAGGCCCTTGTTTTGTAGTGCTGGTATTGAACCTAGAGCTTCATGAAGGCAAATGCTGTACTACTGCGCAATATCCCAGCCTTATTTTTGAATAAACAAAGAGCTTTTTAAAAAAGGAGTAAGAAGTAGATGCTTACAATCTCAACACTATAAAAGACTGAAGTAGGAGGACCATAACTTCAAGCTTAGCCTGGGCAATTTAGTAAAACTGTATCTCAAAAAACAAAACAAAACAAAACAAAAACCAGCTGAGTGTGGTGGTGCACACCTGTACTCCCAGCACTCAGGAGGCTGAGGCAAGAGGATCACCCCAAGTTCAAGATTGGCCTGAACTAATAGTGAATTCAAGTCTGAAGTACACAGCAAGACCCTGTCTCAAAAATCAAACAAACAACTCCAAATAAAAATATAAAGGGCTGAGGATGTAGCTTGGTGTGAAGGCCTTGGGTTCAATACCCAGTACAGGAAGAAAAGAAGAGAGACAGACAGACAGACAGACAGAGAAAATAAAGAGGAGAAAGAAAAGACAAAACATATACAATGCTGACTGAACAGAAAAATTCGATATGCCACAGTGAAATGGAATCCAGACATAGTCTAAAGCACATGTTAAAGGCAACCAATGATGAAGCACACTGGCACACTGGCTCACCCCAGGAACTGATTCAATGTTCAGAAGCCTAGCCATCCAAGAACTGGATGGTAACCCCGCTGCTCTAATTCCAGCTTTGCCTTGGAAACCACAGCTTCCAAGGTCACTTTCTCTGCTGAAGTCTGCAGAAACTCAGCAGAGATGGAACAGAACCAGAGCCCTGTTTGCAACATGCTTGGTGGTGACGTCCTCCCACAAGGATCTCCATGCTTCCCACAAGGGATGGTGTGCTACTTCTGCAGTGGCTACAGGACTGACTGACCTTAACTAGACCTGAATAGATCTAACCAGGACCTAGCCGGGCGTAGTGGCTCACGCCTATACTCCCAGCACTCGGGAGGCTGAGGCAGGAGGATTGTTGAGAGTTTGAGACCAGCCTAAACTACAAAATGAGCTCAAGGCTAGCCTGAACTGCATAGGGAGGCCCTGCCTCAAAAAAAGACAAAAAAGGGGCTGGGGATTTAGCTCAGCGGCATAAACGCCTGCCTTGCAAGTGTGTGGTCGTGAGTTGGATCCCCGGTACCGATAAAAAGACAAAAAAAAAAAAAAAAAAGATCACACACAACCAGGACTGACTAAACTCAGTAAGAACAGACTAGAACCTAACTAGATCTCCCTAGACTTGCCAGAATCTGCCTAGCCTACTGTCTCCCAGACCTCAGTCTATGGGAGGTAACAGAACAAATGACAGGGTATATTCAACAAGTACAATAAAAGAAAGGGTTTGCTGAGTGTGGTGGTTCACGCTTGTAATCCTAGCACTCGGGAGGCTGAGGTGGGAGGATCGTTGCGAGTTCAAGACTAGCATAGGCTACAAAGTGAGCCCAAGGCCAGCCTGAACTGCACAGCGACCCTGTCTCAAAAAGACAAAAAAAAAAAAAAAAAAAAAAGAGTTAGTCAGGTGTGGTGGCACATTCCGTTATACCAGGACTCTGGGAGACTGATGCTGGAGGACTGTAGGTTTGGGCTCAGTGTAGGCAATTTATAGACTTAATAAGACACTGTCTCAAAAAGGAGGGGGTGCTACAGGCAGGGTATAGCTTTGTGTGAAGGTCCTGAGTTTAATCCTCAAAGACCATCAGACACTGCCTCACACAGATGCCAGCTGGACCTATGTGAGGAGTGTACTCAAGAGCTCTGGGACTCTTGGATGGTCGCTCTTATGCTATGGACTTGGATCAACAAAGAGGGCAGGGGTTGGGGGAAGGAAGCAAACATGCTTGCTGGTTTCCTCTGCTCATCCAGGGTGGAACCCCTCTAGCACCCTCCCTCCCAGCCCAAGGCCTCACCTTGCTCCTGTGGCCACTGATGAGACGAGTGCTGGTGCCTTCAGTCCAGCTGATATACCAGAGTGTGCCGGCTGTGGTGCCCACCACACCCATGTCCATGCCACTGTCGAAGCTGGCACTCACTATAGCCCCATCTAGGGTTAGCTCACGCTCCATAAACACAGATGTGGACCTTAGTAGGGGTAAGAAATGAAGCAGCATGTCTCAAGACAGGAGACAAGAGCTAGGTAACATGGCAATCATAACCATAATTGTCTGGGGGCCTGGCTGTCTCTCATAAGCAGAAACAGTGACAGCCCCGATGGTAGCAAGTGCTTAGATGTTTTGAGCATGTCCCTGTTTTCAGACTACAGCCTGTGGAGCTCAGGCCAGGCCCAAATATGTCCTTGAGGAGGTGACTAGCTGGTGACAGATCTGACGGGCAGCCCTGGCCTGAGCATGGCACTGTGTGGCACAGGTGCTAACATGGGGGACCCATTGAGGATACCAGAGTGCCCTTATAGTTCACATCCTGGATGGTGCCAAGCAGGCCCATGGAAGCTTACCTGGCACTAGAGCCCTTATACTGCAACTCAGGCACAGCTCCTACAGCCCACAGACGCAGTCGTCTTGTATTGCTGCCACTCACCAGCCTGGACCCTGAGCACACCAACAGCCCTGGGAGATGGGGGTAGACGCAGGGTGGGTATGATTTCCCAAAGAGCTACCTGTCCCAGGACCACAGCTCCCAAGGAGAGGTCCTACACCCATGAGAGGCCAGGGGCTATATCTGGGACCCACCAATTTCTCCATCATCCGCCTCCCAGACTAGGAAGCAGCGGCCAGCACCTGTGTCCCAGACGCAGACCTGGCCAGTGCTAGAGCCACAGTAGAGCAGCCGGGCAGCCCCATAGCAGAGTGAGGTCAGCTCGGCAAGTCCCATTTCCTCAGGGACTGGTTCTTGGTGCACCTGGCAGGGTAGGAGAGTGGCTCCAGGTCAGCAATATCCCAGGAGCCCTGCCAGACTCCATCCCCGAAATCACCCATGGACCTGAACACCAAGCCAACATCCTGGCACCTGGAGGCTGATGTCTGCCCCATGCTGCTGCAGGAACCAGAAGGTGATGGCACCTGGGCCCACACAAATGAGCTCGCCTGCATCCCAGGGATTGAAGGCCACACCATGCATGGGCTCCGGAAGGCGGTTAGCAGATACAAGTTCATAGGTAGCCATGCTCCACAGGGCAAGAGTGAGGTCACGGTAGTCCCCTAGGAATGCATGGGAGGCCCTATCAGTCAACAGGGCTCCAGGGTCCAGGAAGACCCTCCTTCTGCCAATCCCTGCCCACTGACCCAGTGTCACAAGGAATGTGTCATCTGGTGAGAAAGCCAGGGCCTGCACTGCACTGTCATGATGGGAGATGAGCTGCTGGCAGAGGCACCCCGGCACGTCCCAGAGGCGAATCTGGCAGAGGGCAGCATCGCTGCCACAGCAAGATGCAGAGGCCAGGACCTGGCAGGTGGGAGGTGAGTAAGCAGCTGTGGGAAGCCATAGGTCTGGGTCAAAGAGGAAGCTGGGATCATGTCTCTCTCACTGTCCATGTGAGAACCAGGCTCTGCTGTGTACCATGGCCCCTAGGAATGAGCAAGAGCTTGTTAGGGCAGGTACCTGGGCATTGTGGCTGAGGGCCAATGTGGAAATCTCCTCAGGATGGCCGAGCCAATGCTGCTGGGCTCCAGAATGCAGATCTTCTACCACTACCAAGCGGCCACATGTATAGGCGAAGAAGCCTGTGGGCAGACAAGGCACCAACTTCCCTAGAATATGTCTGCCCTATCACTGCCAAAGTCACATAAGTCCTAGGGATTTGGGCTGGAATGCCAAAGGCATTATGGGGAGCACTCTGTGTCAGTGCCTCTCCCCACTCACCCTGGGGCCCTCCCACTGACAGCCAGAGCTTGTTTACCCATTAAAGCCTAGCTTAGGACATGCAGCATAGATTTGCCTTGTATTATTCTGGTAGGGGTTTCTTGACCTACCTGTGTCTGGCCTCCAGACCATGTTGGCCCGTCCATTTCCACTGTAACCCACCACAGTCTTCAAGCGCAGCTGCTCACCACCAGCAGGAGGGCAGGAGATATTCTGTAAGAAAGCAGACCCAGGGTGCTGTGCCCAGCACAGCTGCTTAGGGCCCAAATCCCACCCACGGAAGCTGCTTTAGGGCACGCCCAGGATAGCAGAGGTCTGAGCTAGGGGTACAGGGATGGGGGCTGCAGAGCTTGATGCAACCTGAAGCCTGAAATGAGAAAGAGCAGCAGCTGGTGAGAGGTACACATGGGGTCAGCAGGATGCCCCAGGTCCAATCTGGATGCCACGAGACAGAGGAAGTATGGATGCAGAATAGAGGAAGAGTTGCCTTCTGAGTACAAGCCTCCAAGGACCAGTAGCACACCCAAGATCTTGGAGAAGGAACCCTAAAAAGGTTGATTTTCACTGGGGAGGAGGGCTCTAAAAAACTTTCTTGCCTATCAGGCGTGGTGGTGCATGCCTGTAATCTCAGCACTTGGGAGGCTGAGGCAGAAAGATCTTTGTGAGTTTGAGACCAGCCTGAGATACAAAGTGAGCTCGAGGCTGGCCTGAACTGTATAGTAAGACCCTGCCTCAAAAAAAAAAAAAAAAAAAAAAAAGCAATCCCACCACTGAGAAAGGAGAATCACTGTGAGTTTGAGGCCAGCCTGGGCTCTATAGTGAAAACATGTCTCAATAAACCTTGTCCACAGAGTAGGGTGTAGCCAACCTTGGCCTGCATGAAGGCCTTATAGCGAGCAGTGAAGTGCTTGTAGGAATCTGGTCGAGTAGGGATCTGGGCTTTTATTTCCCTGGTGCTCCAGGTACCTGGCAGAGAAAAGGAAGGCCACAGGACTCAGAACTACTTGTCACCCTCCAGATGTTCTGCCACAAACAAATTCCTTCCCTGCTTACTGGGATGGCCATGGTACTGCCAGGAGCTACTAGCAGCCCCCCAGGCTTTATCTCCAGCCCCACTGGGCTCCTTCTCCACAAACACAGGTGGGCCTGGGGACTTGAGGAGTTCTGTGGGACTATGGATCTCTCCACAGCATCCTTCCTCTTCTGATGCAGAGAATGTGCCTGGGATGCGGGGGGGGGGGGACAGTAATAAGAAGAGGAACCCATGCGGCCTGGTCCCTTGTACCCCACATCCCAGAAATAGTGTACATAGGCACTCATATCCTCCCAGAATAACCAAGAAACTTGTCCCTTACCATCAGTGCCCTCAGGTGGCCTGAAGTGGGGATCTGGCTGGGTGGATATGTGGGATGGCATGGATATCTGCTGCAGAGGGAGTCCCCTGGCCTGAGATGTAACATCCTCCAGCTGTCCTGTGGCGATAGAAGAAGCTATGAGGAGCTTGGGTAAGGACAGTAGAACATTTCAGGGAGACCAAACTCAACAGTGGTCATATATATGAGACGGAGGGAAAGAAGCAGCATCCCCTCCACCTGGCATCACCACTGGACCTGCTGTGTCTCCATACACGCCCCTTTATGGTATACCCAGACTACTCACCGGCATCATGGGCTGGGGAGGCCCTTGGAATGCTTTGGTTACTAGAGGCAATGAGAAGGGTATCAGGGGAACCAGCAGGAGACCCAGATGGGACACAGTCAAGGGCAGACACTTGCCTCTCAGGGGTGGCCAGGACATCCCACAGGAAGATGGCATCCCCCACACTGAGGACCTGCTGCTGGTCAGGGGTGAAGGCCACAGCATGCACAGGCTCTGAGTGACCGATGTACACCTAAAGGCAGTGGCTGTTACATACAAGGGGCATGCTGCTGTGTGCTCCTAGGACCTCGATGGGACAAGGATTAAGAAGCCCCATGTAGCATTAGCCCTTGGAAGACACAGACAGTGCTGAAGTTTAACTCTCTGCCATCTGTCCTACAAGCACTGTTGTACCCACAGCACCCCAAGCAGCCAAGGATCAAACACCATAACTGCCTCTCTGCTCACGAAACACACCTGGCTGCTGGAGTCAGACTGTGTTGAGTATTTCCAGACCTCAATAGCCCGGTCAGAGGCCGCCAGCAAAAAAGAGGCATCCTTGTTGAGAGCAAGGGAGGTGCAAGCCACAGGGCGGACACTAGACAACTACAACAAAACATTCTTGGAATACACCCTGTGGTGGGCAGCAGGTAGCCTGCAGGTCTCCCCTCCTCAGTGTAGCTGCAGCCCCCACAGCTGGAGGAGCTGCAGGAACAGAGGGAAGGCAGAACATGCCAGTGGCCCACAGTCCCCAGGCTTACCTCCCGGACAGTACGTCCTGACACAGCATCCAGTACCATAACTTTGTTGGATGATGTGGACACAAGTAGGTGGCCCGGGGATGTGGGGCCAAAGCAGATGGCCACAGCTGAGTCCAGGCTGTCCAGAGTGCCAATGCTGACCCGCAGCAGCTGGGGGGAAAAATGACCTCTGGCTGTGACCTCTAGGCAGGGTTGGTACCACCTAGAGACACCTGGAGGCACCATCGTCACGGATGCTTCTACCAAGGACAGCATGATCCCTTCTAGTGCCTCCATTTGGCTGACAAGTTCTCTACATCCACAAATGAGGTATGATGGGGCCTAAGTCTGCTACTGAGTGACCACAGCCGCCTACCTGCTCCCTGGATGCCCCTCACACTCCACACCCAGCCAAGGAAAGAACTCCTAGACCCCCAGGCTATTCCATAGACTTACCTCATTGAGAGAGGCTGAATCCATGACTGTAACTGTGCACTTGGAGGGGCCCACAAAGGCCAGAAGGCGACTATCTCTGCTGACTGCTAGAGTGTTGGGGTGCGGTTGAGCGTCCTGGAACACCACGTTGGCTGTGGTAGCATAGAGTACCAGGTCAGCAGGCAGGAAGATAACACTATACTACATACGAGTAGGCTGGGGAGGTGCCTCCCTACCCTGCCTCTGACATGTGGGAAACATCAACAGGGGAGGGTACTTACTCCACAAAGGCCACAGGGCATGGGCATGACACCAAGTGCTACGAGGAAAGTTGGGAGTCCTTCAGGGGCCAGGAAGAATGACCAAATGACTACTTGGCAAGCCCAAGTCATAGTGGCCACAGGAAGAAGTAGATGCCCTCTGGCCATGCCTAATCCCCAACTTGTGCTCAGGCTGTGTACCTTCCTGGGGCATGGCAGGCAGATTTTCACTGATCTTTGGTTGTGGAGTACTGGTGAATCCTAAAACAAAACTGTCTCTAGAGGTCTGAATATAAGGCTAGAGATTTGACCCCATGTGGGACCTGAGTGTCTGAGCACAAGCTAGCTAGCATCTTGGGACCAGCCTGAGTGGTTGGAGGGGCCTGACCTGCTACACGGAGGACGTGGCACTGAGAGTTGGAGCAGCTGTACTGAACCAGGGAGCCCTGACAGCAGGAGCTGAACAGGAAGTTGCCATCTGGGGTAACCAGCAGGTCAATGATGGCTCCTTGGTGACACCTGCAGCATAGGAGGATATCCACTGATCTCAGCCCATTCAGCTTTATATGCAGGGCTGCCGGCAGCACTGGCTCAGTGGCAGGTTCTTCCCACCCAGGGATTCCAGAAACTATCCACTTCTACCATGGGCCTTTAGGCTGGGGCACGCACGTGTGTTCCACCAAGACCCCAGTACTCTCCAGGCTGAAGGCACGTATGGCTCCTCTCCTGAAGCCACAGAAGACAGCTGGCCATGTGGGGTGGAAGGTGATGGCACAGGGGGCCTCATCACAGGATGTAAAGTCATACAGCTGGAGGACACAGGGTAAGGGACAGAAGCTGTAGTGAATCTAGGAGGACCAAGGGCCCCATGGGTGCTCAGCCCCTCTCTGCCCTGCCTGCCCTTTGTCTCTCTAACCTGACGTAGGGTGGCCAGGTCCCAGATGCGGACAGTGTGATCCATGGATACGGTGGCCAGCTGCCCCCGGCTCTGCTCTGTGGATAGTGCCAGCACTGGGGCCATATGGGAGCATGCCAGCACAGTGTATTCTCGGGATGGGATGTCCAGGAAGCCTAGGTGGCTTGATGAGGTGGTGGAGAGCACACAGAGACCATTGGGGCTAATGCAGACTGAGCTGATAGGACCTTCATGTTCTGGGGAAAAGCAGTGTCAGTAACTTCTGGGACCCACTGGGCAACAGAGCTGACCCTAAACTCTACATTCTCGGGGTCCTCTAAGACATGGGAAACCCATCTCATTCCTGCCAAGGATACCAGGCTTCCAAGCTAGGAGATGCAGCTCCCTCAAGAGAACCACTCCTAAACCTCACCCAGGCCTCCACTAATGACTTGCCCATTAGCCGCCAACCTGTGCCCTCAGCAATGCAGCCTTCAGTAGCTCCAATGAAGACAGAACCAGAGGATGTGGCTCAGCCCCCCATATAGCATGGCCTTCCCATGGCTCTCACCTGTCCCATAGGGAGGGTAAACACTCATAGCCTCACCTGCCTCCAGGAGCACTGAAGAGAAGTCCAAAGGCCAGAGTCGCAGGTAGCCATCTTCACAGCCCACAGCACATGCAGTCAGAGAGACACTCAGGCTGTTGATGGTAATGCCAGGACCTAGGAATTCTAGGGATCAGTGCCTCAGGATGACACCAACTACCCCTAGGAGACTCCCCTACCTGCACTGAAGGACTGTTTTCTGGGGAGGGAGTCACCTGGGTCACCTGTGGGCAGCAGGTGGTGGGTACACCGCACAGCCATGCGCTGGGGGTCAACTTCTAGGATGTGGCCATTGCGGCTACACACATAGCTGCACAGAGGGGTGAAAGGTAAGGTGAGGTTCTAGGGGCACAGGGTGGCTGGGCAAAGGCAGCAGAGAAGGGCAAGGACTCACAGAGTGGGGATGGAGGGCACCTGGCAGCTATCCAGGGCCTGTGCAAAAGCAAGGTCACTGAACTCCAGTCCACAGTGCTCCCCCAGGTCCACAGGGCAGGAGCGCAGTGTCCTACCACGCAGTCGCCACAGCCGTATGCTGCCCTGCCCACATGATGCCATCCTGCAGGAGGTGCAGAGGAATGAGTACACTGGGGAGCAGAGGGGCTCAAGGCCAGCCCATGTTTAGCACTACAGATCAGCCCCATCACCTGGTCTCGTCCAAAAGGGAAACCCGAAAGGTCTGGACATCGAAGTCAGCATGCACCTTCGAGAGAGCTACCACCTCGCCACCAAGGCTCACCTGCTCAGTGCCCCATGCCACCACCACCTGCAACGAACCCAGGTTGAGCTCTGGCCACGGTGCTGGCCTCCAAGCCCTCCTCCCTCTTCCCATCTCCCACCCTACTCAGATTCAGTGAAGCCCAAGTGAACCCCACTAGGCAGTGGCTGTTCTCTCATGCAGAACTCAGTGTTTGAGCAGTTGTATTGTTGAGGGTGGGAAATTAGGCCCTGCAGCACACTGGCCTTGCAATGTGGCTAACTCTGAGACTTCCTCAGAGATGAGCCTAGCTGGGCACTGCAACCTCTACAAAGAAACAAAAAGTAAAACCTGACCAACAAATAGAAGAGTGGATAATAAAGCAAGAGGCATCAGCAATATGAGATGCCAGGACACATTGGCATTTGGGAGGAGCCACTAACTCTCATACCAGATTAGCTTCAAGATATGACTTTTAAAAACACCTATCTTAGGGCCAGGGATATAGCTTGGTGCTTGCCTGGCAAATGCAGGGTTTGAGTTCAATTCCCAGTATCAAAAAAAAAAAATAAAAGAACATCTATCTTAGCTGGATGTGGTAGCACACACACTTATGGTCTCAGAACTATGGGAGGCTATGACAGGATGATCAAGTTCAGCATAGACAGCTTAGTGACTTAGTGAGACCCTGTCTCAAAATTTAAAAAATTTTTAAAATTTTAAAAAAAGACTGAGATATAGCTCACTGCAAAGACTCTGGGTTTGATTTCCCAATAACATACACAGACACATACACGCAGCTCAACTCAAAGTACAACATCTGACAAGAGAGAAGAGTTGTTTACTAACTTAAAGGGACACCAGTTGTGCCAGGGATAAAAACTGAACCACTCTCCTTGGTATCTTTTCACCAAGCAGGCACAAGAATGCCAAAGCCCAAGGTATACACTGTCAGGGCCACAGGAACCCCTATCAGGAAGCAACCCACTGTTTCTTAAGTCACTGGACTTTTTTGTTTCTTTGAGACACTATATACTTCAAGCTGGCCTTGAACTAATTTATGTAGCATAGGTGGGCCTCAAACTCAAAGTGACCTTCCTGCCCCAGCCTCCTAAATGGGATTACAGGCATGCACCCACACTGGGCAATGAACTTTTTTTGAGATGGGGTCTAGCTTCCTTGAATTCTTAGGTTCCAAGGATCCTCCTGCCTCAGCCTTCTAAGTGTTGCAACTACTTGCATATCACTGTTTGGCTGATTTTTTTTAAACAAAGAAAGTTTGTTATTTTAATAAGCAGAAATAAACCAAGACAGACTTTAGAAATCAAAGGCTCTGGCCATAGCCACCTGCCCCTCTCCAGGACAAGATCATTACCGTCCTCCCCTGGTGGTCCCTTCCAACACCACAGAGAAGAGCCCCACTGCTGGAGAAGCTGTGGACAGGACAAGAAGGTCAGCAGTGCCTACTCCATCCTACCCTGCCCAGCCCCAAGTGAAGCCCCATGCTCACCTAAGGGAGCAGACAGCATACATCGGGCTCCGGAAGAGGGACAAGCACCTCCCTGATGGGAAGTCCCAAAGCCGTACCACACTGGGGGGTTGCACTTGGGCTGAGGCCAACAGCAAGCTGTTCCTGTCCAGTGCCAAGGCAGACACCTGGAGAGGTACAATGTAGAGAAGGGTGTGTGACCTACACGTGCCCCACTCCCCAGGCCCTGACAGCACTCACCTTGTCTGTGTGGCCAAGGAAAAAACGCTGCTCCCCAGTGGAGATGTGCAACACGACGATGACTGCATGGCAGGGATAAACCACAGCTGCCCCATCCTTGGTCCACAGGGCCTGGCACATAAGGGCCAGGTCCGGGTCAACAGCAGGACCCAAGAGAACAGAGTCATCTTCTACTGAGCTGGGGGTTGGGAGTGAAATCCCAACAAGCATGTGCACACACCTTCCCTATATCACAGGTACATGAGTTGATGGGACACAACCACCATGGGGACAGCTGACACACATGCATATCTGCCAGGCCCTGCCTCCAATCCCAAAATCTTGGTCTGGTTGGCAGAAGACCAAAGGGCCCCCAAAGATTCAGAGCCCGCATCCAGTAAGGCCTGATGAAGGCCTAGGGTCATTGAGGGGCAGGAGGGAAAAGATGCCTCTTCTGATGAGGATCTTTCCTTAGAAGGTCCACTTCACCAATCAGGAACCCCCACACCATGTCCTTGCCCCCACAAAGCTGGTCTGGGTCAATGGGAACCACCCTTATGGTACCTCTGAAGAACTGAGCCAGAGTTCTTGGGACTTTTGAACACTCAAGCCCAGCTACTACCTATCAGGATATGCCACAAGAACAGGGGACACTTATGACCTCTGGCCCCCCAGGAGCCCAGGAAAGTACTGAGTAGACATGGGCAGAGCAGGGGTCTGAGAACCAGAGGAAAGCCAGCAGAGACTACAATGGGTAAAGGGATCCTGATACCAAGGTGGCTGGGAATCTGTCTCCTTCCAAGTACCCAATGCTAATAGTGCCCAATGAGAACCATCCTACAAACAGCCACAAGACCCTCACCCATTTGGTGCTGTGGCCTCCAAAGCCAATGATCCTCTTGAGTCTCAGGACTGGGTCCGGGAGGAAGTGCTAAAAGAAGCAAATACTTAGTAAGATCCTAAAAGAACACAGTCCTCAGGGACTGCCTCTGCCCACTACAGGGCTGAGTACTTTCTAGAGGTGGAACTATAGCTAGTGGAAGTGCTTTCCAGAGCCCTGGGTCCGTCTTACCAGAGGTTCTCTCATGGGAAGCTGGGTTCCTGACTAGAATGCCTAGCTCTATAGGAACCCAAGTCCTGTTCCCAAAAGACAACACCAGGCTGGGGTACCCCTAAGAGTCAGGGAAACAAGTCCTTCTTTACTGTCAGGAGAGGTTCTTGCCCAAAGTTGCCTCTTGCAAACTCTGATTTCTGCCAGGACGATGTGTGCGAAGAAATATTAGGGGTCTGTCTGACTTGAAGGCAGCTTGGGGTATGCTAGACTGAGCAGCCCTTCATCCTACCTTACCCATGCCCTTCCTGCTCTAGAATAGGGACTCACCTTATGGGAGCCAGTATCCTCAAGGGCCACAGGCATGCCAGTGGACTTGTGGGTGAGCCTCTGGCTGTCCCTGACCACAGTGTGTACAGCAGAGGCCTCCACCCAGGCTGAAGAATCTCGGCTACAAACACTTAAGTCAGCTGGACAGGATCCCTCTGAGTGCTGGCAGGACTGGCTGGCCTCTGAAAGGACCCTGGGTGCAGAGAGGGCTGGGCAAGACTGCAAGGAAACAAGTACCCATCAGCACCATGCTGCTGCCATTTCCCACCCCTATCAGGGGACACTCACAGTTTGGGGTCTGGGCATCTGGATCGCAGGAGACATCCTGTACTGCAAGGGCTTGCTGAGGGTCACTTGGTGAGCGGGAAGCTGTGGCACAGATTCCAAGATGACTGTAACAGAGCAAAGATCCCCAGTGACTGGCTGAGCAGAATAGACACATCCATTAGGGTGCTGCAGGGGCAGGAAAAGCAGATGCCCTTGTCTTGCTGCCTGTAGAAGCCACATCACAGCAACTGTTCATCGTGCCACCCAGCCTTGTCCCTCTCACGTGGTTCTGCGAAAGACAGCCAACCATCCAGCCCTTGTGCCTGTGCCTGTCCACAAGTGCCTCAGACATACCTCTTAAATGCCATATCCCCTTCCAGACCTCCCCATTCCCATGGAGTGCCTTGCACCCTGCAGGCTCCACAGGTCTACCTGCAGCAGGAGAGGAGCTATTCGTCCAAACCAGCTCAGAAGTTGCCTGTGGGCTGTCACTTGGAAACCTGGATGGGCAGAGGCAGAGTCAGGGTCTGGGGGCCAACAGGCTACCTGCCCTCCTGCCATCTTAGGGACTCCCTTGGGAAGGGCAGAGCCACTCACCGAATATGAATGTAGTGGTCATGCCAGCTCTCCCCCTTTGGCACTGGGAAGGCCATCTCTCGAGGAACAGGAATGATAGGCAACTTTGCTCCCTGGGCCTTACTGACGGTGATACCTATAAACAGCAGGGTTTCTCTAAGTCAGTTTAGCTACCTCCCTATACAACCTGTGCTTCCAGAGCTGAGGGGCCCTACCCTCCAGTGACATCAAGCCAGAACTCAGACAGAAACCAGGCAGAAAGAATCTGGGGTGACAAGATGAGGTGAACATGCAGACTGGAATAAGGCATGTTCCTCACCAGGGTCAAAGTTCAGGTCACTAGTGTAGAGATTCTTGACCAGCAGGTTGGCACACAACTTGACACTCTTGAGGTGGCCATAACACCGGCTCAGGTAAATCAACAGAATATCATGTAGGTCAAGCTGCAGGAAAGTCCAGCAGGCACCTGGGGGAGCCATCCCTGCCAGGACTGCAGGACAAACTTCTAGGTTAATGCCCACCTCCCCATAGCCCCACTTCTACAGCTGCTACCCTTGTCCCACCCCCAAACCTGCCCACTGTACCACAGAAGTCCAATTGGGCCTGCACCACCCCACCCTGGGTAAGAGCTGGCCTTCCTCAACCATGCAAGGCCCATCTCAGTGTCACCTCTCCTAGGTGTCCTAGTCTCAAAGACAAAAGGGAACTGAAGCCACGTGGCTGAGGACTTGAACTCCTTGAAGAAATTGGAGAAAGACACTCGGATGACTTGGCTGTCCTGCAGGGGCAGGGGCAGGGGCAGACCCAGCTGTGAGGACAGGGCAGCAAGCACGTGGGTACCATACACAGCCCCATCCCAAGCACAGCACCTGGGTGGTCACATCCAGGTGAATGACAAAACGCTTGGCGGGCAGTGGCCGGAAGAGTACATATAGGTACCGCCCAGTTAGCCCCAGGGACTGGGTGCTGGTTCTGGGAAGCTGGAGGTAGTTATTGGCAGAGACAGATCCCCGGATGAGATATACGGAGCCCTTCAGGGTTTTGTCCTGGAGAAAGGGCAGAGTACAGGCCAAGTGGACCAAGGAGCACCCAGCAGTAGTGCCCATCCGGAGGATTCCCCAGGAGGAAGTACCCAGTACCATCACCACAGCCACGTCGCCCTCCTTGCTGGACCGCTTCCACTCGTTCACTCTGAAGTATCTGAAGACGTTGAGGAACGGGTGCTGCCACGCTGCGGGAGTGGCAATGCCCTCAAGGCCTGGCCCTGGGAACCAGCAAGGCTCCAAAACCGTCTCCCTTCGCCAGCTTGCCCATGGCCAGGGCACACATGCCTCTGGGGCCAAGGGCCAAGCAAGTGAACCCTACAGGGACTCCAACCTACGACCTCTCAGAGAGCCTCGAGACCCCTGATATCCTGGACCTCGGCCAGCCCACCGCTCACCGCTACCTTCGGCCATGGCGCCTCACATCGCGCTTCCCGCCTATGCTGCAGCCAGCAACACGCAGGGCACGCAGCGCGTCGCTTAGCAACGGACGCCAGGCAACCAGGCGTCTCTTCCGCTGTCATGGCTGCGCCCACAGCCCACGTGACAGCATGGGACTTTCCCTCCACTATGGCTTCTTGGGGCCATGCTCAGGCACTAGATTTACCTCTGATAAGTTGAGACAGTAGGGAGGTCTCTGACCTATCTGGGGTCATCTGTGTAGGGCTGCACTTGTTAAGTACCTTTTTCCATGTAAGGAGAGAACTGAGGACTGAAGCCTGTCCAAAACCACACTAGCCTAGGCTATACCTCAACCTATGGAAGCAATGAGTCACCACCTCTCATGCCAATCAGTCTTCTACAGAGGCCTGCTAAGGTCAGAATCCCCAGCAAACAAAGCTCCCACACTTGTGCCTGCAGGTTCACCACATATCAGAAGACCTGTGGGACATCTCTGACCAGTATGTAATACCCAGGTCTGCTGGCTTCACGAGGAGAGCTGATGCCAGGATGTAGTTCGGCAACACAGCGCCTGCCTGGCAAGGGTGAATTCCTGAGTTCCATTCCCAGTACAAAAAAAAAAAGAGAAGCTGGCATTTTAATACCAACCCCTTGTCTTGGGTGCTAGAATACCTGTCCAGAGCCAGTTCTTTAACATCTGTAGGTCTGCAAGCCTGGCTTTGGCACACTGATGCCAATAGGAAAGAGGAAGGAGTCTGATGGGGCCTATAGACTGCCAAGCACAATGGGCAAGCTGTCTCACATCTCCCTTAGGTAGACAGCTGGATAAAAAGCCAAAGGACAAAGGTGGGTAGAACTGTAGCCCTTCTGGCAAAAGAATACCAGAGAATGCAGCTATAAGGGGAGGCTGGGCAGGGCCTGGAGTTTAGGGTTAGGGACTGGAACTGGACATGAGAACCCATACAACCCCACACACCCTCCAAAGCAAGGGCACTCCAAGAAGGCAGTTTCTCAACTTTATTAGCCTGGAGCTCTTTCCTGCCAGCCCCAGGGGCTGGTCCCTGGGTATAGGATTGAGGTCAGACAGGTTTGGCCCCGGGCCCTTGGCAGCTTGGAACAGCTGACCCAAAGGGAACAACAGGTACAAAAGTTCAAATGCTGGCACTTCAGGTGTGGCTGGCACCCAGCCAGGTCGCATAGTGGATAGGGAACCATAGTCCTCTTCTGGAATTCGGTCCTCCATGGCAGCATTCATTCTCAGGCAGCCACTATGAACAGTTGGTAATTCTAGCCAGGAACTGCTGTGCCCACCACTCATCCAGGTCGATGGGTACGAAATCTGTAGGCAAAGAAGCAAAAGGCCAGGCAGTGATGCCACCTTCCAGACTGGTTGGAATTTCTACCGTTAAACTGACCACAAGCCCCTCACCCATACACACTCCAAGTATAGAAGGCACTGGGAAAAAGGTGGTTGGCTCATGAGTCTCCTCCCCAACTCCCTAGGACTGAAACCTGGTAGGACCTAATTCAGGAGCAGAGGGGCAGAGGAAAGATGAGAACATGGGGGAAGATTCTGGAGGTACAGGATCTGAGGGAAGTTCCTGAGAATTGGGGTTGGGGGCTCACTCTGCAGCCGGGGATCAGGGGTCCTCTCCACATACTGCACAGGCTTTGGCCCACTCTCACCAGCTGGGCCACCATCCAACTGTTGCTCCACCTGCTGCCAGGCTGTAGGGAAACAGTGGTCAGGCTGAGCCAGGGCCTTGGTGCCCTTCCCACCCGAGGGCCTAGTGGCCACCCTGGACTCCAGCCCAACACTGGAAGTAAACAGCCTGCTTGGTAGCCATAGGACAAATGGACAGAGAGCCAGGGAGTTAGGCTGCAGTGAAGAGAATTTGGAGACATCCCAGTCCACCTTACTGGGATCTAGCAGCCTGCACCACACCATCTGGCCCCTCACTACCTTCAGATACAAAGCGGACGTTCTCTTCGTGGGCCATTGTGTAGGTCTCCTGGGTCCCCTCGAGGGATGGGGATGTGGCGAGAGGCCGCCGGCCATTCACTCGATTGAACACAAGCCTTGGCCCTTGACTGTGGAAGGGGGAGGAGACAGACATGGTGGGTACACATCCAAGCCCAGCTGCCACCAGGCTTGTTGCCTAGAAGTGCTGCCCACTGCTTCAGACCAGTACCCAGCCTGGGTACTTCTTCCTCAATCATAGAGCATCTGCCCACACCAGCCACAGTGAAGGGCTCTCTCCTGCAGGCCCAAGTCCTCAGCAGCTCAGCTTATACCTTCAGCCCTCTCCAGGGGAAATGAGACAGTAAGCCAGGGCTCCAGTTCTGTGTCCAGAACTCTGGCAAGACTAGACTCAGCACCCTTCCACACTGCCCCATATCCTCCAGAACCCCAAGTTCTGAACTCATCCATGACCAGATCTCCCCCACCTATAGGCCCAGTTTCCACATCTTCTATAAATGCTCCTCCACAGAGTTGACACTCTCAGCATGAGAATAGACGGCACATGAGATGGCCTTTACCCTTCCCTCTCCCCAGCTACTCCATTCCCCAGGGGGATAAGCACTGAGAGGTAGGTGGTAATCCTTGGGTTGGGACAGTATGGCCACAACCCTGGTTTACTCCCCACAGGCCCAAAACTAGAGGCAACATGAGTGAGATACCCCTCCCCCCATGGCACTGCACTAGACATCCAGAGGGACCAATGGATTTCTCCCAGCCAGAAAGGCACAGAACAGAGATGGGCTGCCCAGGCTGGCTACAGTTGGCCAAACCCTGTACTTGACAAGCCCAGGATGGGGCCGTGGAGGGAATGGGGCCGCACCTACAGCAGGAGGTGGGAGCCGGAGTCCTGGGCTGCGCCTGCCACTCCGCCAGGCACTCGCGGTCCCGGCCGGCCTGCTCGCTTTCTTGGGCTCAGGTGCCCCAACGCCGCTCTGGGTTCCTCCTCAGCTGAGAGGGGCACTAAAATAAAGAGGAGGGTCTTGAGGGGCGCAGGGTCCTGCCAGCCCCAGTGCTGGCAAGGTCTATGGGCCACAGAGAATTTTAAGATGTGCCAGGGAAACCAGGAAGGGGGCACAAGCTATTCCCCAATCTGTTCACCCCAAGTTTCCCCATAAACTCCAGGCCATAATGGGTTGTTCTCAATTTAGGAATCTCCTGGTGCCTGCAACCACCCCACAACTGAAAGAACTTCAAACTCCAGGAAAGCTTGAAGATTGGATGCCATTTAAAAAAAAAAAAAAAGGAAATTGCCAGACTCAGTGGGGCACTCTGAAATTCCAATATTCAGGAGGCTGAGGCAAAAGGATTGCTGTGAATTCAAGACTAGCAAGGGCTACAAAATTCAAGGCCAGCCTATATCTCACTCACTACATAAAACAAAAACAAAAAACAAGGAAATTACAGACAGGGGCTGTCAACTGCAAGGGGTCAAGGTGGTGGCCCTGGGGCTCGGATTCCAACCCCCTCCCCCCATCCTGCAGAGCATACACACACAGCCTGCCCCACCCCTGCACTTATGTAAGCCCAGAGGGAGGCTTTGTAGGGAAAAGGGCAACAGCCCTAGTGTGCACCTGTGGAGTCCAGCCAGCTGTGTGCATTCCTGGGGAGGATGCCCACAGACAAACTCCAGCCTGTGGTGCCAGCACAGACTTTTAACCTCTCTAACCACCCTCATAGGAGACCAGATGGCCATTTCTCAGTCTAAGAACCCAGACTAGAGGTAAGTGACCTGCCTGTGTCACACAATGACAAGGGCAACATCGGAATCTAGCAGCAGTTCTGACCCCTAATCCATATCCCTCAGTACCGGCTCCCTAGCCAGCCTCCTGGATGGATCCCTGCCTGCCTCACTGTCCCTTCTTGCCCTGCAACCCCTATCAGCCCCGAAGGACAAGTGATCACATAGTCTCTTTTTTTTTTTTGGTTTTGGTACCAGGGATGAACTCACAACCGAGTGCTTGCCAGGCAGGTACTTATGCAGCCTCTAGTCATTTAATTTTTTTCTTTCACATGGTCTCTTTTTATCGTTTCATCTCTTCTATCTCTCCTTAGAAGAAAGAATTTGTCAGAGGCTCAGACCTAGCTGGCCTGTTCACCACTGTAGGCAGTCCCTAGACCTATAACCAGTCATAACAGGAGGTGGAACATTGGGGCTCTGCCATGCACCAGCAGGAAGACAAGCAATAACTCCCATTCCCTATTCTCTTTTTTTTTTTTTTTTTTGGTCTTTTTTCATTTTTATCGGTACCGGGGATCAAACTCACGACCGCCTGCTTACAAGGCAGGTGCTTATGCCGCTGAGCTAAACCCCCAGCCCCTTCCCCATTCTCTTATAGCTGATCAGAAAGCGGGATGATAAGTGGTGGGAAGTGACCTCAGAGGGCACTAGGACATGAGACTCAGTTACCATAAAACCTGCCCTAGCCACAGCTCCTCAAGTCCAGCAGAACAGTGTAACTAGCCTGGTGAGCTGATGGAGGATCTCAGGCATCTGCACCAGGGTTGGCCTGCTCAGGCCTTCAAGGAGTCTAGGGAGAACAGCCAGTGGGCCTGGGAGTATCCGGTAAAGCTCTTGCCCACTTAAGAGTTGGTTCTAGGGAGTGTCATTTTCCCCTCTTTGACTCCACCTCCAACTTTGCTGCAGATCTGCCTTTAAGTCCCCAGCAGTTGAAAAGGAGGAAATGTTTCCCCAGGTAAGAGGTGGGTAGGTTATCCAGATACCCAGGCCTTGAGCTCCCTGCCTGAATGGCCACATTGCTCAGAGCTTCCTTCCTGACAGGACAGGAGAACACTGAAGGCATAGACCAGTGGTGGCAAACCTATGGCACACGTGCTGCACTGGGCAGTATCATTAAAAGCCCTAAAAGATTGGACAGTACTGGGAGTCTAATGTTAGTTAAGACTCCCAAGAGCCCCCTCATTCCCCAGGTCACATCCCTCCTCAGACTCTCCCTGGAGTTCAATCCAGGTGTCAGTGGGTCTCTCCATTCCCCTACTCAGCACCTGTCCCCAGTTCCCCTAAGATGTCTCAGATGAGCAGGGGCAAGTAGGGGTGCCTGGCTTC